TATTTTATATAAAAACTAAAAAAAGAACACTATAATCTCAACAAAAACAATATAGCTGTCAGTGGAAATATTAACTTTATAAAACATATATTTTATACTGTTTGTATTGAATATTATCGTGTATAAAAAAAGTATTATATTTAAATAAAACGTTAATACTTTTCACGTGTATTTATGTAGAAGTATACAAAAACAATACGCGCACAAAAAAATCAACAAATTAATATTTCTTTGCGGTCATTCGTAGCTAATTGGAATACCAAAACATTGAACTCGTAAAACTCTAATCAAATATTTTCCAGCTTAAATATACTATTATTCTATAACATTAAACTTGTTAGTGTTAAAATAACGTGAAATTGCGTTTGACATTATTATTATTGTTATTTTACATATATGTTCGATAATCTGACAAAAATCGGTCAAGGACTTCATTTTTTTACATATATATTTTTCAACAACCAGCATCCACTAAATGTTAAAAAATAGGTACTTACAGTAGTATTAACAAGTTTCTTACACGATTCCTTAAATGTTATCTATTGTTTATTAAATGAGATGTTGTGGTTGAGCCAATTCATGATTGGACACATTACTGTTGTTATAGAGGAAATTCAAATTTTCGAAATGAAAATAACCACAACTTCCTATTGTAATCATAATGAAAACAAAAAAGATGATTAAATGACACATTGGAAATATATTAAATATTTTTCCTGAAGATCTATGGTTTGATAAACTTCATAGAGAAAAGTGTCGTGTAATCAATAGAGAAGTGTTGTAGAACGTGCGGTTGTGGTTTCAAGGATGTTAAACTGTTCTAATTTTTATTATTCAAACGTCTAATAAATAAATTGACAAAATTTACAAATAAAATTTGTTTTTCATTTCTGAAAATGATGTCTTTTATGGGAGATTTTAACGAAAAAATTTGAATACCATTATATAGAGCATTTTACTGTTTTGTCAAACTTTTTATATAAATTAGAAAATAAACGTTGATTTCAGGGTCGGATTAAGAAATTTGTATTTCCATATACTGGGACGAAACCTTAATGAAAAATATGGCTACCATAAATATGTGATGAACAAAAAAAAAAGAAAAACTACATGTGACTAATTATGACAAGCTAGTAATATTTTTCATGAGCTCCTTGTCTCCCCCCTTTAGTACGAACCTGGTTAAAAGTTAAACTATCAAATATTGTGCCTTTTTGGATTCAAATTATTTACCTGTAAATAAATTTTAATCAAATAGTTTTCGTATTTGACAACAATCAAATGATGTTACTGATATACCTGCCTTAAATAACAATTTGAATAAAATAATTATTATTTCAAATTATATAATGTCACACTGTTCATCGTTGTTGATGCTGCTTTCTTAGTTGATTAGCTGTTTGCTAGTTTACCATTTAGATTTATCGATTGTATAGTATAACTATTGTTAAAACTATTTCGGGTGAAAGTAAAGTACTGACCAATTTCGATTGTTGACGTTTCTCACCAGTAGTACGTGAAGGAGGTACTAACGTGCTCAGAATCGTTTAATTTTCTGTTAGATACTAAAAATGTTTTAAATCACTCTAGGCCTATAAATTAATCTATAAAATTCTATTAAATTTGTTGCATCTTAGATATCATTTTGCTATTGTATTACTCAGAGAATTGCTTGTAATAAAACATCAAAAGGTGCTTGTACTATACACTGTTATAAAAATAAGAAAAGACAAGTATTTAATTTCATTAAATTACTGACGAGTAACTTACGATTATGAAATTTAATTCTCAATGTTTTTTTGAGAATTAAATTTACTATTATTTCTCTTAAAAATTTAGTTCACAAATTAAAAAAACTCAACATATTAGTAAGTTATTTTTTCTTGACATAAAACTTTATATTAGTTTTATTTTTAACTTAACTTAATCAATATTCTACAAATCCATTTTAGCAAGAGTTTGAAAATTTTCTTAGTATAAATACAAATATTTTAATGTTTTCCACATCTGCAAAAAAATACATGAGAGTATAACGTTAAACATACCAATAAATTTTATACACTTTTTTTTATTTTCAAAGATTGATTTCATTGATGATAAATTTTTTTAACAAAGACGCGGTGCACAACGATATTAATTCGATTGATCTTTCTTAGCTATATTAGTGATTTGTATAGAATGTAAACAGTCCTTTGTTGCTTAAACATTATAAAGTTATGAAAATGAAAAACAAATAATTGGGCGTTATCGAATCTTGTTATTCGCGACAATGTTGCGAAATACATAGAGTCTGTAACATTGAGGGCAACCGTATAAGGTCATTACGATCAGGAATTGTTGTGCATACTCAAAAAAAGAAAAAAGTTTTCTCCCAATAATATATTCCATAATTGAATTATTGGTCGTTTCACAACAAATATCAACGAAACCCTACAGGTTTATTGCACTCATTTAACACAATAGTTACTCAGTAGATAATCATTGAGTACATAAATTCAATTCTGATAACTAACATTACAAATTGAGAAAATCATGACGGTAAAATCTCTATAACCATTGTACTCACGAAAAACAATTAATATACGAATTCAAAAAATGCACGACGTATAATAAAATTTATTTATGAAATATTTTATTTCAGTTACAAATTACAAATAAAAACTATTTTGATGCATAATCTATTTACCAACAAAAATATTTATTTTTCAGTGTCAAAATCTTAATTATTCTTAAAAACTTCCACAATCTATAACAAGTAAGTATTTTGTATAAGAAAATAATACATTTTTACATTTTATTATAAAAATGTTTATATTCTTAGCAAGTAAAGTCTTATATTATCTATATTAATTAAATATTAAAGACAAGCTATCCTTCCAAATTTGTTTTTTTACTGATCGACTTATAAGCCTACGCGAAAACTGAACATTAAATAACTGATAATTGAAGAGCTAAGTTTTATTTTACTCCAAACGTCCAAGCTTGGCCTCATCAGCCTCATCTTTAAAATAAAAGTTTTGTGGTTTATTCAGATTCGGAGCAAAATTGCTACATTGAAAAACAAATACATCATGTACACAATTATATTTTTTTTTGATTATAACCAAATTTGATATTTTATGCAGATCTACTAATTTATATTTAAAACCATCATCATTAACGCACATATTTTAATAGCTTAAAAATATCATTCGTACAAAATAAATCTAATCAAAATAATTGTTGATAAATTAAAATTTAAAACTAAAACAATAGACTGCAGTGATTGAAAATAAACGATTAAACTACAAAATATTTATAGGTGAGAAAGTGTACTTTCCTACCAATAAAAAGAGCAAGGTCATACACCACCATTTCTGATAATTATATTAATAAAAATTAAATAATTATTTAAGTGTAAATATTAGGTAAATAACATTTATAATATCTCCATGATGAATTATTTATATAATAAAATTAAATCTTTAAATAGCTACGTTTAACTAAGGTCCGGACTTAAATGCTTCTAAAAACTAACCCGCTCATCACTTTTTCTAAATCTAAAAATGCTAATATTAATGATTTCGAGGCAAAAGGGCTCAAGCAACATTTTTGTTTAATACTTATCTTTTTTAAAAATATTGATAAAATTATACTCAGAGTATATAAAATTATAAAATTTATTGGTTTTATGTATTCACTGATGTATGAGTAACGATCTACTGTAATTATAGTTATAAATGTTTAAATAAAAAAAAAAATTAATTCGGGCAAAGCAAATATTTTATTATATTATATTTGTTATTTTTTGCATTTGTTAGCTAAGTTTAAACTTCTGAAGTGTCCAGTAAACAGAGTGATAAAAATATACTAGTCTATGACATATTTTTAATTTTTTTTTAAATATCTTACATTTTTAGAGACACTCCAGTAAAAACTGTAATTAAATAGTATTGTTGAAAATACTATTCGTTTAATATTAATACAGACGAAATTGGTTGGGTCCCATAAATTTAACTATTTAGTTTCCAAATTTATTGCAAGGAAATTTTATTTATTTATTTATTTTAATCATGAAAAATATTTGCATGACAGTTTTTTAAAATTACAAATGTTTTATATTAATTTTAAACATTACAACTTTTATTATAAATATAAAGCATTTGGTAAAATTGTTTAACATTTAAATTTGTATGGGTACAATGAAATTTAGAATTGTAATATTATTTACACTTGATTATTAAAATCATAACATTTATTATTGTTTTGTAGATAAAACATAATAACACGGTTTAATTATAAAATTTGAAGCAAAATGATATTTTTTGCGATTAAAAGGCATCATTAAAAAATTTTAAGATTGCAATTATTATAATTATTAACGTGCATATTTTTGGAAGTCATACAAGGTAATAATTAAGCTTTATTTATATAATTATTTTTTGTTTTAAACAACTATCTTTTTTCGGAAGCGTAGTAAGTTTTATTAATAATAATAAAAATATTTATTTGAACCAAATAACATTAAGACAAATAAAAATATATATAATAATTTTAGAACCAGTATTTACCTGACCTTCCTCGTAGATACGGCCATGTTTAAATATATACATTTTATAATCGTATTGATCATGCATTAAAAAATTAGAAATCATTTTGTATTATACATACGCAGGTAATTTATATAACGTTAAAGTATGTAAAAGTATTTACATAGTTTATTTTTACAAGCATTAGCATTTTTTGGTAATAAAAAAAAATATATAAAGTTTGACTTTACGGTGTTGTTATTATCAGAATACGAATTACAGATCTGTAGCAAAACAACACATAAATAATCATACTCTTATTAACATTATTATGCTCATTATTATTTTCAGAAGGTAGACATAGTTGTTTACTACAAGCGGTCGCTAACCTAATCGCGCACGCACAAATATATACGATATCAATTCAATTGTAAATAGAAGATGTCGTTGCGCCTGACGCACGAAATAGCGCATGCTCTGCAGAATCAGCCGTCGCTGCTCATTTGTTTTCATAAACGCACTAAAACGAGGCGTCGTGACATTAGCCTCAGTGCTATTATTTACTTTTTATATTTTTGTTAATAAGTGCGTTTTTTTTTATACATTTATGTGATGACAGTCGATGTTTAGAATTTTATCTTTTTATTACGATGTTAATTTTAAGTTTGACGTTAACAAATTTAATGGCCTTGGTGTAAAATACTATGTAATTAATCTTTTATTTCTGTATCAATGTGTGCATTTTTATTAAAAATGAAAATACAGAAAACGCCATTATAACACTATGTAAGTATTCAAATTTACACTGTCTTATTTAAAACCAAACTACTCAAATAAGTTTATAAAGTTTGGTAGCTCTTATTATTTTTTATTATTAACACTACTTGTTTATCTCGATTTATTAAAAATACTAACAGGCGATTTAAAACCTACTTAAAATATAATGCTACTCCCTAATTTAATTTAATTTCATGAAATATCTATTCAAATTAATTAACTAACTTCTATGTCCACTATAAACCACACTAATCGTGGGAAAAAATTGATTTTGACCGATAAATAGTTTTCACAAATCAAATTTTTTCTTTCATTATACCATGTAATATGTTTAATCATAATAGTAAATGCATTAATTATTGAATATAGTCATGGCTATCGGGAAGGTAAATAGATTCTTTTACTGAAGTGTTTATGATGCGTGAGTAGGACGACGAAAGATCAATACGAGATAGAATGATGACGTAGGGAGCGCTTCCCGTTACGTCACAACTCGTGACCGGGTCATAGTCATGACCGTGTACAATTATTAAAACATATAAACTGAAGTGTTGCAGCATCAGTCATAAAACGACGACATGATAACATTATATTACAACAATATGTCGTTGAATTCACAGACGCAATCCTGTGGTGTGCCTGGCCATGGCCATGGATAGGGCCGACCGTCTAGCCCGAAGTTTGGAATTAGAAAAGGCATACGTTCACGACGCATATCAAGATATGTACCAACCCACTACACATAAGACTAAACCGTGGCCGAAAGTCACCCAATTTTTACATGATTTAGAGCCTGGGTCACTAGTATGCGATATCGGTAAATTTAAACAAATTACACACACTGTATCGAATCATTTATACTGTTTGCTGCACGATTATTTTGATTTTTTAACGAACGTAAAAAAGATTTGAAAGTCATTAAATTTTAATTTTTCAATTAAACTTCAAACGCAATTACTGCATATATATACAGATAAATGTTTATATAATATAAATGTATAAATAAATGACTACTTTTAATCTGGGTTTTATCATTTTAATAATTTATAATTTTAATAAAATAAACAATTTTTAGTCATTTTTATAGGTTTATAAAAAAGATTTAATAGCTTAATATTGAAATATATTGAAATTTTGAAAATACGATTTTTCCTAATTAGTTTTCGGCAATTCAAAGAGTTTTTCCATATATACTTGATTAAATTTTTTAATTCAGAAATTTTTTTTGATAATATCTTAATCATTTTTATATAAGATTCTCTAATTTTGAAAAAAAGATTAGTTCTTAGTTATCTGCTTTAGTTATAATGTACAAAATTAATGTTCAATAGTCATTTTACCATACTCACCTTAAAAAAACATTGTTTAAAAATTATAAACTAAACTTGGCTGAATATTCTTTAGGCTGTGGTACAGGCAAATATCTATCAACTAACCCGAATGTATTCAAAGTCGGTGTTGATCGTTGTATGCGATTAACCGAAATAGCTAGAAGTCAAGGTAGCGAAGTTAGTATCGTTAATCATGAAAATCAATGAATTTAATTGTTAACTAAAACATAAATATTATTGTCTTTTGTCGGATACTGCAGGTTTTAGTTTGCGACAATCTAACTTTACCATTTAAAGATTGTAGCTTAGATGCTATTCTATCTATCGCTGTTATCCATCATTTTTCTACTGCAGAAAGAAGAGTGTGTGCTTTACGTGAATTAGCCAGGGTATTAAGAATTGGTGGCCGTATTATAATAACCGTTTGGGCTATGGAACGCCGTCATAGAACAGTAATTTATAAATAATTTTCAATAAAAAACAACACATAGTCTTAATGACAATAATTAACTGATTAGTTTGAATCTCAAGATTTATTGATGCCATGGTATAAGCCTTGTAGAAATATAGACAGCGAATCAACAGAATTTTCTACTACAACTACTACCTCAGACGATGAATATACCAGTATGAGAAAAAAATCTAACTCGGAATCAATAACGTAAACATAATAAATTACTTATCTATTATAATATTTCATTATTATTTTTATATTAATCAACAGAAGCACAATGTTATGTTATGAAGGAAAGAGTAAACGTAAAGAAAAATCGGACTGGAAAAGGGGTATCACAAGTTCACCAAGTAGTTCCAGTTTATCAAGTCCAGCCAATGAAACTTGCTATAGTTTCGTAAGAAAAGCAATACAGGTTATTTTTATTTTTATAAAACTGTTTAATTTATAATTTTAAAATATGTTCAAAATTATCTCACTTTTTTACAGAAGCTTGCCGGTTCAGGTAAACGAGGTAAAGTGACGTCTAAGCCATGGTTTGTGGGTTCTTGGTCATCTATTTATGGAATTGAATCACCTCCAATATTGCGATCGGATCCAGAAGGATGTGAAACTTGTATTGAGGATGTACAACATATTCCCATAGAACTCAGAAGAATGGAAGATTCGCCGGATCTTGTACCGCATTTTAAAAAATCTGCTCAAAAATCTAAAAGCTTAGAAACTATTTCAAACGATACAGAACGGCTTAGTATGATTCGATCAAAATCAAGTATACCTGTACTTGAAAAGTCAATACCAACTACGTTAACAAAACCAAAATTAGTAAAACAAAAACAATCTTTATGCGATGAAGATGCTGAAGAAGATAGAGATAAAGCTACTGATATGAAAGACTTAGTAAAAAAAATGCCACAATTTGATGTAGGGAGTGGTTCAAAAAGGTATAGATATAAAAGTAATGAAATCAAACAAAGATCTATGAATGAAGAGCTTATGTCTGTTGAACGACTTAAAGAAAAGGAAATTGTTCAAAAAAATATTCAAAGACAAGCTTCATTGAATGAAGAACTTATGTACAAAACTCGTACACTAGAATCTATAAAAGACACATTACAATTGCTCAAAACAGGATTTACTAAGACCTTCAAAAATCCATCAAGTCAAGTGTCTGGTAATATAAAGAGTGGCCTAAGTAGAATGTTAGGATATAAAGAAGGTAGTGAAAAAATTAATAACGAAAAAAAAATAGAGGCACCTGTTCCCGCTTTGGTGACAACAACATGTTGTGATAAAAGAAGGAGTTCTCGTGAAGATGGTTCTTCTGAAGATTCTTCCAAAGATAGTTTACAAAGTGATGCTAGTGTTGATTCAGAGGATAGTTTAAGTAGTTTAGCATCAGTTATTTTTGTAAATGCTACCATTGGGTCTGACAAAACATGTTCTCCGCCGTTGGTTGACCAACAAGCTCGAACTGCTCCTTGTACACCAACAGCTAAGTCATATAATCAGTACAGGTCATCATCTCATCCTAATACACCAAAAACCAGTCTAGTTCATCCATCTCATTTCAAATTGCCCTCTCGATTCAATTCTCAAAATAGCAATGAATCATATCAACTAAATTTGTCATCAGATCAAACAAATGATGATATTTTACAGCCAATTAAATTATCTCCCGTTAAAACTGCAATTGAAATGAAACTTAAAAGAGAACAAGAAAAAGATCAAGAGGTTGGACAAAGAGATCACGTTTGTGAAGGAGGTGATAGGAACATACAACCCAAAGAAAGAATAAGCGCAGAAAGGTTAAAACAAATCCAAGACTTATTACTAAATAAAACACCTGGTAAATTAATTTATATATAAATATAAAAAATTTACTAACATAAATATTTTAATACGAAAATTTTCAAATAAATTGTTTTTTTTTTTTTTAATTTAAGTAAGTAATCGAAATCGATTACCTAAAGCAGATCGAACATTTTCTGGCTTAAGAGGAAGACACTTTATAAAAACATTGGAAGAAACGTTTAATCCTGAAATAGATGACGTGGACAGTGATGCTGAATCTTCGTCCTCCGACTCAGTCAGCAGTGTTATAAGTGTTGTGGTTGACGAAGAACGCAAGACAGCAGGTAAAATTAAAACTTACCATTTTTTATTTGCATACCTTAGTAAAAAAAAAGGTCAATCAAATAAATTTTAATACAATGAATTAAAAAAAAACTTTTCTAAATATGAATATATTTTTTATTAACATCATCAATGATTTTTAGTTTTTTATAGATAAAAGTAGATATTTCTATTAACCACTTAAAATATTTAATATTAAATATGAATTATGTCACTTTTGTTTCAACGTTAAATAACAATTATTCTGATTTCTCATATGAATTTGTTCACGTTCAATAGACATTCAAGAAGTTCTTATTAATGATATCGTTGAAACTAACAATGGCAAGATTGTTAATGTAGAAAAATGTGCAGACCAAACAGATAATAATCCAAACACAAATCTTACTCGAATAGATCATAATTGTGTATCAATAGAAAATAATGATGGAAATGGCGATCGATCAAATCCAACTAACAGGTGGAGTCTTCAAGAACATCCCAACAAAGGCACTCCGGTTCGAAACAGTCCGAGTCTAGGATCTATTCCAAAACACAAAAAAACTAATAAATGTTCAAAAGATGAACTATCGGATTTACCGGAAACATGGGACGAAGAATGTCAAAAACATTTAGCTGATTTCGCAGAAAGGTACAAGTATCGAGAAATAAAATTTATGAAAAAATCGTGTCGTATTTAACTTAAAGTAATTACCAATAACATTTAATTTTTAGGTTGAATAAAAAATTGAAGGCTGAAATAGATAGTGAAACAAAAGAAAGTAAAAAATTGTTGCATGAAGATGATATGCCAAGCATACCAGAAATTGTAACAACACCGGAACCTTGTGGCTCTGAACAATTATCATTACATCAAACAGAAGACCTATCAGAACTATCTTCAGAAGGACAACCCGAAGACGATTCATTAGATTACCATCGCATTGAAATATTAGCTGGATCTGAAGTTCCTCGTCGGCCTAGTATTTCAATAGAAACACAAGAATCGGTCGACAAAGTGTTTCGGAGTCGAGAAGGATTCAGATCACGACATTATCGTCAGTCTATTGACTCAGCCGAAGAAGGTCGTCGTGCATCACTTGAATTAGAGAATGATTCAAAACGAGATACAGTATCTAGCAGTCAAGCTTCCCTTCTTCGTCCTGGCAACTCATTAGAGTCAAACGATACAGCTGACACACATACTACAACACAGAGTATGACTTCTCTCACGTCATGGAGTGATTGTAGCAAAGATACTAGATTTGCAGATAGACGACAAGCTCGATGTGACGGTCGATCTTCCTCCGAAGAAACGGATCCCCGACGGACAGCCGTACTTGTTCGGCAGCACGCAGCTATTGAACCACAAGAAACGCTTAAAAGTGACGACACTAGTCTTTCCACCTCACAAGAATCATTGTCTGAAAATAATGGTGGTTCAATAACTTTTCACCGCTATTATCATGTATTCAAAGAAGGTGAACTTGACCAATTGATTGAAAAGTATGCTGATAATTTACACATAATATCTTCCTATTATGATCAGTCCAACTGGTGTGTAGTTGCTGAAAAAGTACAAGTATGGACTATATAGAAATAATAAAATCCCTATAATTGTGCAAACTTATCAAAAAAAAAAAAAAGTAAGACTTTCTTTTTAACTAAAATAATGTATGTCAATGATTTTATTTCTTAAATTTTAGATAAAAAGAAAATTTTTCAAATGATTATTAACTAATGGAATTAATAATGTAATTACAAATTTTATTTCTTGGTATATTTTGAAATTTTAATGTTATGATATTGACATATTCTTATTTAAGTGAAACAGTTTCAACTCCGTGTCAAATAGTAGTGTATAACTTAAAAGTATTCAATATTTATCTATTATAAGTGTGGTAACAAAAATAATATTCATTTTTAAATAACTGTTAATTTTAAATTCAAGTAATCAAAAGAAACTGTTTGTTTTCAAAATAAAATAAGTTAAAATAGGTGCTAATATATGTTTAATTTTAAACTCAATCGTTCAAATTGACTGATATCGAATAAAAAAATTATCATAATAGTTAATATGAATTACTAAAATTAACTTTTATTGATATAACAATTTTTCACGTAGCGATATTATTTAAAAAGATAATTTTCAGTACAAAACTAATAATAAATAACAAAGTCACAAAATGATTGATAATATTTAGTTGAAAAAATCAACATTTTCAAGAATAATAACATTTATCTAGTATATAATGTATTCAATATTTTTATAAATGAACATTAATATTTTTATGTTAATGCTTTATGACAACTTTTCATTAATTTATAGAACATCTTTTTTATATAATAAATCATTGATTCAAAGCGTAGTTAAAACTAATATACTTTGAATAGTTTTTATTTTAGATTATAAAAGAACTATTTAAAACATGATACTGATCTTTTTTATGGGCCAAACCATTTCTTAAATCTTTTTATACATTATTGTTTAGTGTTATATTGTTTCATAATTTTTACTGTGAAATAAAAACTATATAAGCTTGCGGAATTTACAAAAAATTCATGTCGTTACTATAAAATTTATTACCAAATACTTTTCATTATTTAAAATTATTTGAAAAAATTTATTTGAATATATAAGTCTTCCAAATTAAATAATTAGATCTGTTCTTTTAAAATGTTTTCCAAATAATGGAATTTCTTTTAAAGGTTCAATATAAAAAGTAAAGAATCAAGTTGTGTAAATTTATGTTGTGTCTCACATATTTACGATTTACGGTTATTAAAAATTAAGAAAAAAAACTGCCATTAAGTTAAGTTTGTTACGTTATAAAATTTAAAATAATTTATACAATTAAGTATATAAATATTATGCATTGATGATTTTTAAATTAATTTAAATAAATGACTGTTATAGTATTTAAAGTTAGTCACTGAACTTTTTCTTATGAATTTTTATAAAAAAAAATTCAGTTTTTAGTAATTTGTACTGATAACAAATTGATTTAAAAATCATTGAAAACACACACTTTTAAACTCAAATATATTTATTGTGTTCTAAAAGCTGTCTCATTTATACCAATGCGTTTTTGAACATGTTGAAAACGTATGTTTTAGATTTTTAAATTACATTTCACTCTGACTAAAATTTTTATTTAAAAAATGTTATTATTAACTATATTAAGTTTAAGATTGTTCAATTGCTGTTTCTCATTGTGTTGTTCAAAAATACTCTCTAATAGTGGAATTTTTAATTTTGTATAGATTGTATATGTATACAGAGTGAAACACATCTAACTGACGACTCTTATAACTATGAATGCAATTAACATGGTGGTGTAATAACGTAATAACGTGTAATAATATATAAATTATCAAAAAGAAAAAATTACATCAAAATGTTAATTGAATTAATTTTTAGAGTTATCAATTATATCTGATCACCTGTGTAACACATAGATTATTTTCTGTGATTAACTATTATAAAAAAAAAAGTATTATTACATTATATTATTCTAATTTTAATAGTATAAAATGCTAATGTATTCTTTTATTAATCCAAAGTATGGGTCGGTATAGCAAAACAAAGTGGTTAATTCAATTTCTGTACGCTCAGGTGTAATTATAATTAATTCAACCATAATTCAATCAGTTATGTTAATTTTTAATAACACGATTCGTTTATAATTTGGCTGTCAATTTTTTTTTGTGTATAGCAAAAAATGTTTTTTTTTATTGTATTTAAATTATAATTTAATTATTATTAAATACTTTTGTTTATATATGAACGAATTTATATCTTTGGACTGTATTTGATCTATTAATTTATTATACTTAGTGTTAATTCATATAGGTTTTTTAAAAATAAATAAATAAGATCTAATGTTTTGTTTAATGAATTTGCTATTGTATTCTTCATTTTTTTGTTTTTGGACAAATAATGTTTAAATACAATCGTAATATTAAATAATTTTTTGGTGATTTATTACTATATACAAGAAGATTGATTTATCATGGGACTATTAAATATCTCTTAATAATAATAATTATTAATTTTTCATCTTTTACGTGATTAAATATTTTTTAAGTTCATCCCTTATGCCTTATCAGATACGAAATTTATATCTATTTGAAAACATTACTTTTTTTAATATTGTGTAAACTTCCCTCATTCTCTATAAATGGGGAAAATCTTCAAAATAATTACAATTTTAGATATCACAAAGTGTTGTTATTAATTTTAATTTTTGAATAAAATTGTAATCATTTTTTTGAAAATCTATGAATCAATACAAAAACAAAATTTTTATTTTGACTTTTCCTACTCATATGAAGAGTTAAAAAAAAAACATTTAAATACAAATTAATATCTTTCATGTTATAAAATAGTATCGTCCTAAAAAATATTTAACGACACTTAGAGGTCCATTTAATACTTGGGGGTCTTGGTTAATATAGTAATAATTGTTTTTTTACTACTCATAAATTGAGGAATAAAAGCAGAAAAATTAAATTATTCTTCATAATTACTATTTTAAGGAAAATGTATTGATCAATAATAAAATAACCATTCTATATATAGTCATAAATAGATGGTTTTACATTGAACCCATTTTAAACTCATAACTTAGAAACTAAATCGTGATTGTATATTAACTGCAATAACAAAGCAAATAAGTAAAATAGAGAATTTAAATCTCTAAAAAGAACTAAATATGTACAACTTAAGCACATATTTAGTAATTAATAAAATGTTTTACTAAAATGTTATTAAAAAAAATTATGAAAAAAATGAAAGAAATGAGTACAAAATAAGTAAAATCTTCCTTAAAAACTAAAAAAGACCTAAATATTCAATTGGAATTTGTTGTAGTATGAAACAATTTGTGTCAAGGTGGCACAAATTTAGCGATTTTTTTCAATAATTTGTCAATAGATCACAAATCATATCTAATTGAAGACATTGCCTTCAAAAATATAAAAAATTCCCTCATTTCCTGTTTATAGAAAAAAATTACATATTTTAATATTTTTTGAAAAATTAAAGAATAAAAATATTTTTTTTAATAAATACCTAAGATATTTCCATTTCATTTTATTTAAATTTTTTTTGGAAATCTAACCCTTTATCTGCTTACAAGGAAGCTTTAAAAATAGCAATTATTGCATAAACAGTTTTTCCAACTTAACTTTACACTAACGCGCTCTTTCTTCACTCTATTTTAAATATGTTAATAACTTCCGAGATTCTATTTCAAAAGTTGATATCTTTCAGTCATTTTCTTAATGAGACCATTTTTTATTTTATGATCTAGTTATAGTAATAAATCAAAAAATATCAAAAATAATTTTTTTAATTTATTTATTATTTTAAGAGAAATCAAATAGATTATATTAAAAATACCACACCGTATACAAAAACTTTATATCTTTATATAATTTCTCTATGAAATTACAATTAATTAAATATCAATTTCATTTTTATAGTATGTATTTATTTATGTATTGCATTAAAAAATTGTAAAATTTTTGATCAGAAAATAATTAAGGAAATAAGAATTGATATTTCTTCTAGAATGATTTAACGATTTCTTTTAAAATTTAAACAATAGTTATAGATTTGCATCACTATTATTTCTTATGGCAGTGATTTTAATAACTAGCATCTATGATAATATATATATATATATACAGGGTGTTCAGTAAGTCAGGAAACGGGTTTCTATTGTTCTCATTGTTTGTAACAATGAGAACAATAGAAACCCGTTTCCTGACTTACTGAACACCCTGTATATAATTACTTACAGAATAAATACAATTTAAACAATTTTTTTTTTTTGTGGTTATCTTTAGTTACACATTTTTCTTGAATTATTAACTATGTAATACTTACTTAAAAATACTCACTTAGAAACTTATGGATCCAAGCCCGCAATATATTGACTGCGGTTTTCACATTAATTAATAATATTTCAATTTTAATACTTTCTTTGTTGTCACAAAAAACAAAGCATTAACTGAGGTATAAAAAAAATTAATTAGATAAAAATATATATTATTATATTATACATACATAAATATAATTTAGAAATTTATAATGGGGGTTAAAAATATCACACTATATATCAAAAATTTAAATAATATATGACTTTGACAATTGATTTTTAAAAAAACGATTTTCTGTGGTATTATTTTTCTAGGTAATTTTTTACAAAACATTCTTTTTCCAATTGTTTTATTTGTTATTCGTATCAAACTAATAGTTTACTTTTTTTCTTCTTTGTTTATCAAATTGAAAACTAAATTTGCAAAGTACTTCCGTGAGCATTAATAATATTTTTTAAATCTCAATGAAACTTTAATGAGATTTTAATATCTCATTAATTAATTATAACAAGTGTTAATTTTATTTTATTAATAATTTGTTAAACTATCATTATATACTATGATCATTAAAATTTAATAACCACAGCTTAAAAAGACAACACTATTTAAGGATTTATTAATTTGGGTAGTATTTTATTATTTTGTCCTATGGAGGTAGTACTTGATAGTATCATATATTGTGTATTAAGTTTATGAAATTACTATACTATTGTATTTTCATATAAAGATATTATCTTTATTAAAATAGTGCCCCAGTATCTGTGTGTAAATATTAATCTTATGTTTGCATAATCTTTGGAATATAATGTTGATAAAGGCTTATTTGTTGATACTTTACGTGTGATAGACTTTAACTTACGAAATTCTGCAATGTGTTATGAATAATTAGAAAAACATTTGGTAAAATTTTGAGTGCTTGCATAATGTAATAAAATTACTTCTCATGGGATTAATTCATCAAATATCAGCCGAAGCCTGAAATTAATCTCTAAGTATACTGTGTCGTAAAATGTTTTTAATTGTATGTAATTCAATATTTATTTAATAAACTGAATTCTTCTATTTTTAATTATTTTTCTTTGTTTTGTAAGTTATCTTTTTTTGTATTTATCTGCCCCTGGAAAATTTTCACCCTAAGTGGTTATTTGAGTACTTAAGCCGACCCCGAAAACAAAGCTTACTACTGGGCTATTGTTCATAATTTACACCATTGATAAGTTTTTCAAGTTTTTAGGTTGGAAAAATTTACAACAAACAATTTAAAAAGTTTTTAGTTAAACATTTAGTTGTTTAATTTAATAAAATAAAATAACGTATTATCATATTAAAACTTTTCTAATATTGGCTACACTGTATAATTTCTGAAGTGGCCGTCCTTAAAAAAACAGGTTATCATTATTTCTTCAGAAAAGTTTCTTTTTTGATTGTCATCAATTCATTTTTACATTAATTATATATCTACATAAAAATCATTAATTTTGAGTAGGTGCCATATTAAGCGTTATTTTATTTTTTTTTTTAGTGAGTAATACTTAATAAATTTTTATTTTTAATTCATAATCAAAATTTAAATATCTACTGTTCATAACTTTAAAGTGTCTAGTTGTAAGCTATAATTTTTTAGCTTATGTATTATATATGTTCATCAGTATTGTATGTTTTTTACAGATCATAAAAAGAAATGGCTGAAGGTGATGATAATGATAGAAGACCAAAAGGAATAGAATGTCTTAAACAACATATTGTTACGCATAAAGTTGAAGTAACATTATGGGCCACTAGATTAGCAGCAATTATTTTTACATTTGCTTACCTAGTACCTCTCTTTTGGTAAGAAATTAAAAATAATTAACTGGTTAATCTAACTTTTTATATATTAATTTTTTAAAGCTCTAAATGTACTTAGTATATATTCTAATAATATGTATGAGTAGTTCAATGTTTTCATTTTGATTGTAAAGATACTATCTAATTAAAGTTTTATACTTATTAATATTTAGCTATAAACTTTATGGTAAATGTGTTATATCTGTAGAATATAAATGAATATTATAACATGCAGAATTGCAATTTTTTATCATTTAGATCTAAAAAGGTGGATGCAATAAAACAGATTTTGTTAACAACCACCTCTACTAAATTTCTAAATTTTTAAGCGTATGTTTATATTACCTATTTAGATTCCTTTTTGGTACAATATTATCTCAAAGGTGCCACATATTCCTATTATAGACACTAGAATTATAGGAAAACTAAGGTCTAGAGTTTTTTTTTTTTTTTTTTTTAGTAACTTTGAATTCTGTTAGATTTACATACTAATTCCTTGGTAGACAGTAAAAAAAAAAAAAAATTATTAGTTTTGTTATTAACTTCAAATTTATCAACTTTTTCCAAAATCAATACCAAGTATTTAATATTTTAAAGTCTTTAAATAGATGATATTTAATTCATTAGTTACCTTAAATTACAACACAGGGTAAAAAACTTGTACAATAACTTCCTAATTATTTATTTAAATTGTTTTATACTTTATATCACTTAAAGTTAGAAAGAGTTTATTGCCCTGAATTGTTATAAAATAGTAACAACATTCAATAAATATACTTCTAAAATATTTTTTTTATTCATATTGTAAAAATAAAATAAGTGGTAGATTAACAGTGAGTGAGGGTCTAGTGGTCTGAACTGCACTGATAAGTATTATGTAATATTTTATAGGGTAAAACTCTGATGAATTTCAACATATTCTTTAACCCCTTCCCCCACTCAAAGAAAAGTCTGAAAGACCATCACTGAATAAATGAAACTCTTATGAATATTTTTAAATAATTTCTTGAAGAAAAATTAATTATTCAACAATATATTTCTGTTAGGCTTCCTCATTAAAGAAATAAATTTGAATAACCTGTTTTTTTTTTTTTTGTTTTTACTAATAATTGGTAGCCATTGATGTAATTTATATAGGAGAACCATAGAGGATAAAACTCCTACAAATCAATCAGTCTTGCGAAGTAGAGTATTAAGCTTTAGTTACTCATTGAAAAAATTTTCAAACTACACCAATATTTTTTGTTCAATTACTCAAAAAAAAGTTGAGGGACACATACACTTTATTCTTTCTTGACTACAATTTTGGACTATTGTCTACATTCTCATGTAATATAACTAATAGGATTTTTCAAAAAAAATTTGGACGTCATTTTGATGTTTTGGATATTTAATAGCGATGTATCGATATCACAATAAATCAATTATTGATATTTTTGAAATTTACATAATAGTGATTTTGATACCGCTCTGTAGGTACGTCTAAATATTGACGTGAACCGTCATATGCACTGAAAATGTCCATATAAAGTTTAAATTTAATATAAAATCTATTTTTGATAATCCTTCAAATCGATATTGATAAAAATGCGATATTTCAATACAATATTGATATCGAAATTTTATCAAAAAAACGACCGATATCGAAACTATAACGATATTTTAACGTTATCAATCCTTAATGATTAGTGTTTTACCAAATCAAGCCAATATTTTTATATTTGTTTGCTTGTAAAACATTTTTTTCGTTTTTATTTTTCAATTTAAAAAAAAAAACTCAAGTTCAAATCTAATATTCATTATTATCAAACATGTTAGAATTGTTAACAACAAGATCACTTTTATCGTCAATTTTACGTATATTTTCTATATTGACACTTCAAGTCTTATTTTTTATTTTACACTGAGATTCACTCTCTATGGTACCATCAGTTCGTACTAATAAAGTTAATTATTAACGAGTAAATTAGGGGGATAGACAATACAATAATTGTAGTGGTTACAGTACTCTGCATACTTAACTTATGATCAAAAAATCAACATCTTTCTTTTTATCAGAGTCGATTTAAGACCTATATGAGCCCCGGAGCTGATGATCAAAAAAAAAACCAGAAAAACTCACAAGTCACTAATCATGACTAGATTAGTAAAATTCGAGATAGGCTCTTTAAGCTCAATTCGCATCCCCTCCTTGTCCCTCTTAATATGAAATTTCTTGAACATATTCAACATAAATTAAGTATATTTTGGTACAATATTCCATGCAACGTTATATAGCGTATTTTATTTGTATAACTTTTTTTTTATACCACAGAACATTATACATGTAATACATAGTTCATTTTATTGTATAATTAATGTCTATATACTCGAATTTCTTAAAAATATTTTTAATTAATAGCCTTGTAAAAAAAAAAATACCAATATTATATAAGTTACTGATGTAACAATAAGAAAATGGCTACGGCAATGAATTAAATTTAAATCAATTTGCGTAATTGAGTTGTTTTAATGGTGATTATAATTTGTATATATAGTGTTTTAAAATAATTGTTTTTGCAAATTATATGGAAAAAAATGTATAATATTTATTCTTATTATATAGTTTGTTTAACTCTTTTTTTAATTTGAATAAACAAAATAATTCTAAGCCTAAATTAATTATTAATAGAATTAATTTTTTATGCCAAGTTAGAAAGTACTTTTTACTACATTATCTTTGGTTTTTTATCTCGATAAAATGATGAACTCTTGTTTAGCGAATTTTGCTCAATGACATGTAAAAATATATTAGTGAATCTTATTGTTCTCAATGTTAAATTAGTTATGATATTCATAATAAAGTAATTACGAATTGCAACCTTAATATCTTTATTTTAATAAAGATAATTTAATTTGAATATTTAGTTCACCATTGTTTAATTAATTTTACACGAAACGCTATAGAATTATAGAATAAAAAATTAACATGCATATTTACATATCAATTTATTCTTTAAAAAAAACTGACTTTATTAAAAGTAAATAAAAATATTATTTAATATTAATAATAATTAATGCAAAATGAATTGTACTTAAGACGATCAAAATTATATATTTAAATATATTTAAATCGACCACTTTTATAATGAAGATAAAATGAGGGTCAGTAGCGTATTTAGTAGGTGTCAAAGTGAACAATAGTCCAAATTTTAAAAATCCAAACAAATTTAAGGGCATATCATAAAAGTTATTACTTTTACAAAAAAATATCTTTTTATTATCTGAAATTTTTGGCATAGAATGTTTTATATATATTATACCCAGAGCAGAAAAATATTAAATATGCATCAGTAAGTGAGATACACCCACAGAACTAAACTAAGAATTGTATGAAGATGTAATTTTTTTTAAAAAATTTTAGAGAGGTTTGTGAAAACTTTAATTTTATATACCCCTCTAATTACGTTACTATTTAGAGTGATGTTTTTTCGCTTAAATATTTTGAGATCTTATATTTATAATAGTATTTTATTTATTAAAAATATAATTCGTTTTAATTGGTCCACCAGTACACGAATGTCATACCAGACGCGTTAACATTTATCCAGGTAATAATTAAATAATATAATATAGTTTTGTACATTTTGAGGTATATAAATAAAAAAGACCAAATTTTCTGTAAAAATTTGCACAACCTATACGTAGCGTATAGCAGTAATCTATTTTTTAATATAATATATTTGATTTCTAAAATATTAATAAATGACAATGTTGATGCTTAATCCCACTTCACGTTATTGATTAAAATGTATAAAACTGTTGTGTTAAACATTTTATGGAGTAAACATTTAAATAAACTCTTATTAAAATTTGTTTTCACTTCATTCAAAGTTTATGATAGAAAATCTATTTGAAGGAGTGGTGAAATTAGGAGACAATTTGATAATTTCCCTCGAAATTATAGTGATTTTTAAATTATAGTTATTTACCCTTTTTTTACTCATTCATATTTTTATGTATCTTTACTTTAAAACAATTTTATCCTCAAAAAAAATTTTCTTATTGGAGTTTAGAGGTAGAGAACAATGCTTTGGTTTAGGTGTGTACAATAGGGCTGCAACTAGAAAATAATTTGAAGAGTTCGATTAGTTTTTATTTGCCAAAAATTTTTCACGCTGCATCGTTATTTAGAAAAAAAATTTAAATAAGCTAAAAATAAAAGTTATTATAACTAAAACAATTAAACAACGTTAATCATTTTGGTTATGAGTGTTACAACCCCCTAACCCCTCACACGTCGGTTGCGACATTGGTACTCACGATTTTTTTTACAATTTACTGAATACTACTCACATGAAATATTAACACGTATATTTTTTCAAAAAATATTTTATAATCACATCATTTGTTTTCACTTCTCCTACAATTATAAAACAAATAACCTATTTGTGATTCTATTAATGGTACCGTATAAAGTTTATCTTTACTATTAGCAGCAGCTTATAAGAAATTTTATTTATAAGTCTTAGAAATTAAAAAATAAATAATTAAATACGAAGTTTTTTATTCTACTATTAATATAAGAATGTTCAATTTTATTTTTATTTTTTTTTTCAGGAATCCAGCTAGCGCATATTATAGAATATTATTAGCTAATGCAGCTACTAGTGCATTACGACTACATCAACGTCTACCAACAATGCAAATTTCTGTTCAATTCCTTACACAGTTATTCAAAGAAGATAGTTGTCATTACTTACTATACTCACTAATATTTTTATATGTATCACCTAATATTCGTATCCTTTTATTACAATTGAATTGCAATTCTATTTTTAATTTTAAACTAATATCACTATGATGTGTGAATGAAATTTAGACAACATTTTAGTAATGCATTTAGCTATCCAAGGCTAAAACTCTACATTTTATCGAAAAAGTAATTTATTTAAAATTAAAATTATTTCTCAGAAACATATTTTTATATTATCAGAAGACTGTAGAAAATCAGCAGTAAAAAATGGGTTTTATGTACTTCATGTTCCCGAAGGATAGTAATTTACTGTTTAGCAAAAGAGTAAACGATTACAGAAATTTCCAATAATTATTATGTAATAAAATAAATAATATAACAAATCTTTAATATTTTAGTAAAATGTTGAAACATTATAATTTTAAAATTACAAATATACATATTACTGTAAAATTTTAACAGATTCACATTGAATTGTTTTTAATGATAGTGATGTTAATCACTGTCAGATATAATATACATTTTTCCCGACTATGCCACATTCCCATTATACTGGGTTTTTAATTTTAAAGTTGAATAGCTCAAAGAAAAAATATCATGAGAACATTTTTCTTTTTTCCACCCATAAAGAACTCACAAGAAAACTTTAATTTGTGATAGATTTCAATAAAAATATTATTTTTCACATGAGTAGTTAGTCCATTTCAAATTAATACATAAAGATAAAGCATTCCTTAATTCATTATAAATGTAGTTATAATTTTGCCAGTATTTTTATTTTCATTAATACATTTTGCAAGTTATTCGTTGACATTATTGGACGTAAGTAAATATAAAATATATTAACTCATAAAATCATAATTGAAAGATAAAATTTATAATCCGAAGAAAATATAAACATATCATAATTTATGTGTTTTTTAATTTGAATAAATGCTGTGATAACATAAGCTATTATCTATATTATAGCTAATGGCTATGTAATAAAATATTATAATAATAAATTATACATAATATTTAATATAAGATATCAACAGAATAATTAGTAAAAAAAGTTATACAGATGATTGGTTAAAAGAATAATTGTATATGTTTTATTTTGTAGTTTATCTTTTAATTGTGATTTCATGAATTTATTTATCATTTATGTATAATATAACTAGTTAAAAAAAGAAAATTAGTAGTTTTACTATAATTAATTGTACTTGTGGCATAGTTTTTTTTAGTATTATTACTAATAGTAATATAAATGAGTAAAATATTTATTTATAAAATTCTTATCTATTATTTGTTTTAGTTATTGGGACAAAATTCATGGTGGGGAGCTCGTCTATTAATTTCATTGGTAGAATTTCAATCACGCAGTATTCTCCGTCTTATTGCCTTCTCAGAAATTCTGGTTATGCCTCTAACATTGTTTATGTCATTCTTTGGTCGTTCAGGATTATTAACAATTGTATTTTATTATCACTTCTTAACCTTAAGATATGCATCGCAAAGAAATCCTCATACAAGACTTATGTTTGGTGATTTAAGAGTAGCTGCTGAAAATTTTGCAAACAAACCTACTACACCAAGTTTCTTACAATCAGCTATATTATCTGGAATAGCTACTATATGTCGTATGGCACCAACTGTACCACACAGTCAATAGTCTTAAATTGACTCGTATTTGCAGAACTATTTAAATTGCATTTTATTGATGAGTTTTGTCACATAATTCTGTAGATATAGAATTTGGTCGCCTTTATAATCACTATCATTGTAAAAAGAACCAAATTCTTTTTACAATTTTTTTATTATTATTATTACTATAATTATTGTACTTTATTATTGTTTTGGTTCCGGTTTATCTTTATGTGATTGTATGTGTTTCTCTTTGTAAAAATATTAAAATATAATTACATTATTGTAATTTTTGAAAAAAATTATCTTTTTATTCTTCTGTAATATATTAAATATTTACAATTTAAAGTAACTGTATTGACTTAAATACATACAAGTGTGTTTTAATCAACACTTTTTTTGTTGACTAAAAAGTAGTAACAACTATACATTAACAGTTGGAACACAAAAAGTGTGGTATTTTTTTTAGTTTTAATCATAATTAATATTGTTTTTAGAATATATTATCCTTCATGTAAAAAATTATGGCCTGCTTTTATAGTAAAGAATCAAAATATATGTTAACAGATTTTTAAGTAAAATACTGGATAAAATAAAAACTTATTTTGTTATTTAAAATAACTGTAATTTTGTTTTTGTATATTTTTACTCCTTATACCTGAGTATATTTTATTTTTTTGTTTTCATGTATAGTTAGCTCATTAATCATAAAATTTATAGTATCATAGGGAAGGCTTAACTCTCCAAAAATTAAAAATATTTAATACAACATTCAACTCAAATTTGAGTAGAATAACTTTGCCCAGTGTTCAAAAATTTAGAAAATCATGAAAGTAAAATTTAGATTGTTTTATCACTAATATTTAAAAAATTTTTGATACTTTATTTAATCAGAGATTATACATTTATAACTGATTAACACACTGATGTATTAATAAAACTCAAAATAGTAGAACATTCTAGGTTTATACTTAAAAGACCGAAATATTTGTCAAATATTTTATTAAATCTAGTATCATACTAAATTATATAATAATAAAGGTCAATAAATATCAACACTTACTCTTATTAATGTTGTTTATTAAATTGACTTAATTCCATTATAACTGTATTTTATTAAAATGTATATATATATAAAAACAAATACAACAGCCAATTAAATTTAAAAAACTTACAAATCAGTAGTAGTTGGGGGCTGTTTAGGTAATGATTGAGTAGAGGAACGAGATAATTCTAAACTACTAGGAGTAACATTAGAGTAAATAGATGTAGTATCTGATTCATCAGTGTCTGAAGATAAATAAGTATCCATATTCAGCAGCTCTTGTCTAAACAAACTGATAGAATCATTTAATTGTCGAAGTTGAGACAAAAGCTGTAAATCCATCTGCCGCAAAGTTCCCTGAAATATTTGATCAAATAATAGTCAATAGTTCACTAATTACCAATCATTATTTACCATTTCACTACGAAGATGGGCTAATTTTATGTCTACTGAAGAAGGTTTTCTCGGAGGAACTGGTGGTTTATCAATTGGACGTTTTAAATCCGAATGTTCATGAGATAATTGTGGTTGACGTAATTGCTTAAAAGAATTGATATATTCTGACGGTTTAGGTGATTGACGAAGAGCAGGTTCTGGTTTATTGGATGATAATGTATCATAAAGACTAAGTCGACTTAGACTCTCAGGAAGTGGTGGTAGTTCAGAATTATATGATAAAGTAAGTGATGATGAACTGTCTGTGTTTATTCCCGAAACTTCCATTCCTGGCGACACATCGGACATTGATTGTTTACTGACTGAGCGTTGAGCCATTTCATTATGCAATGGATGTGGAAACAATGAGAACACTGACCCCACACTAAATTAAATACACAATAATAGAATACAATCATCTTTAATAAAATAATAAATTTAATACCTAATGGACAATCGTCCCCAGCAAATTTACAATCAGGGCAGCAGGCTTCAAATGCTACACGACAAATACCACAGGTATCATCATTAGCAACCCAACGCCATTGAGCCACTCCAGTCAACTCTATAAAATATTTTTATTTCTATTTTAAGATGGTACCAAAAATATAATAGTAAAATAATCTATAATTTATACAAATTTAATATAAAATAATAAATATAATTTGATTTACTTACTTTTCACGTTTATTTTTAATTTTTGCATTGGCGAACATTAAGACTTATTCGCATCAATAATCGAATAGTAACGGACGATAATTATATCAATGTATAAGGTAATTATTACACAAATTTTAGAACTAAACTAGAATATATGATTTGAGTAATTTGTTTAATTGAAATGAATATATTTATTTGATAAGAATTGTGGACCGTTGCACACTCTGTCATTAAAATTTTATTCGGCACTAACTAAGGTGGTTTTATCCACCTTGGCACTATTTATCGCTATGTAATATTTAATGATATATGATTTTGCATTTTAAGAAGTTTTATTTAAATATTTACAACGCATATATAAAACAAAATTATTTATAAGTTCAATGAAACATATTATACTTGAGTATCATAGTTCATGAATCAAGCAGCAGATAGTGCTCATATTTCAAAGTATTCGGCGAAATAATTAAAAATGAATAAAGTGAACCAATGAGGACTAGAGTAATATAAGCATTAAATCTCCAATGTTAATTTAGTTAAATTTTTAAGTTTAAGTGTACCAGGTTATTTAGAGCATTTAGTGAGATAAGAATAAGTAGGTATATAGATTTTCAAATAATGTCATTATGCACGCCTTTAAGTCATGATATCAAGTTATATACTAGAAAATTGAATTATTTAATTAAGATCATACTTCACAGGATCATTTCTGTAGTATGCATCGTCCCCTCCAGGTGCAAATTTGGAGTCGTCGACAGCCACGATGAAGAGTTTAGTTCAATTATTCGAGCGTGAGGTATCTTAATTGTTCTACTCTTGTAGAAGTATTTAGAAACGATGATCGCCATCAATCCTTTTTGACAGAATAATTGAACCGGCTGAGTGGTATACTGATAACAATTTTTAAATTAGTTACTCTTGTATATCGATATTTAATCGTGACGTATATTGAAAGAGTCGAATAAAGTTAAATTCAGATATTTTGATGTTATTAGTTCTATTTGAATAAAATGGAAGTCTAATTTAAATAATTATTCCCAGAGCATTTGAATAATGGCCCGTTTGTACAAATTTGTTCTAGGAAAGTGATCCAGATAACTTTCAGAATGAAGAGTAGTGGAGAACTTCACCACTCCATTACTTTAAATTTATTTCAATGAGAGAGGGTCCGAACTCCAAGAATCCCTGTAAATATACCGCCGTTGGATGAGAAAGCGTCTACTTCAACTAGCTCCAAGTTATATACTAGCAAATACATTTTTGCACCGGTTTCACTTCTCTAATAAGACTTAGAGCTAGAACGCAAAGGCACACAGTGGGATGAAATCAGTTTTAGCACGTTAAAAATTAATATCAATTAGAATTTGAACTTTTAAATTATATTAAAGTTGAACCTTGTTTTTCGAATCTCTGAGCTTAAATGAAAATATTTTTTTGATCCTTCCATTCTAAGAGGGTTTGAATTTGTTATTGTGTTAATTTTTATTGTCGTATATCAATTTATATGTTTATTACTCACCGAATTCAAATTTTAAGGGCGGCATTCTTTTCTATTGATTATAATAATTATTTATTCCAGATACTTTTTTCATAACAATGTAAAAAAAATAAGTGAGTGATACTTTCCACAGTCCCCTACGAAAGACTAATTTTTTAGATGCTTACACGCAGAAAATATGTTAATACTCTAATACTCGAATAGTTTCTGCAAATTACCACGTTGAAGTTTTATTTTTCATGTTATTAAAAGATTATTTAATAAATTTAAAATAATTAAATCTAAATCCAAATCACTATCTTCATGTCTTGAATTGCTAATTTCTTCAAATAAATTATTTTTTCCATTTTGCTCTTTTTAATATCTAAGTACTTTCTCTTTTTTGTGAGTATTATGTAATATGTGTTATTATAAATGTACATATTCGCCATGTTTTTAATTCCAAGTGTAATATTAAAGTATAAAATATATAAATATATAGAATGATTAGTTTAACATAAACAACTCAATGACTCGCAGAGTATAAATAATTTTGACATATTTTTTTGGCTACTTTTAGTTACATATTGTTCTTGAATTATATTATAAAGCAAAGCAAAACAAAATTAATTTTGATTATAAATATTTTTTGATGAATTAAAAAAATATTTGTGAGGTTAACTTAAATTAAAAAATAATAAAACCTTTTTAAATTTATCTTTCTAAACAACTTCCAAGTAACAAAACGTTACATTTTTTATAGTTCATTACCATCAATTCCATGTTGATTATCCAAGTATTATTATATCACGGGAAAAATATTAAACTATATAGTGACAGTGAAATTTACAGTAAGGAGTACATTATCTAGACGTACATTGATAGAATTGATAATCGTATTATGCTTTCAATTGTGTTTCATGTAATCGGTAGCTGCTAATTATTTTTATCTATTTTGAAAACTTGAAATTTTGAATTTTGGAATGCTAGATTACATTTTATTCCACTATAAAAGGGTGGCAAATCCAAAAAAAAAAAAAAAAAATATTAGATTCGGCCTAATATTGAGATGGTTTTCCGAGAAATTTTAAGTCATGTATTTAAGTTCAAATTTTAAATTATTAACTGAATCCAAGTTTGCTTGAAAGAGAACAAAAAAAAATTCTTAACAATATTGTTTTGTATTACTGTGTGTTATATTAAAAATAAAAGTATATATTGGACTTCATAAAGTCAAACGAGAATTATTAAGAATTGGTCCACTGTTAAGTATAAACAAGACAACTATTTTAGTATCTCAAAAACCATGTCCACATAGATCAAGAAGATAGCTTATAAATATTATATTATTATAAAAAATATTTTTATAATTATATAAACTACATAGATTACAAATATTATTAAATTATTAAATAAGTATTTAATCTGCTATTCGCAGTTAAATTGTCTCATTTGACATTATTGATAAGTGATAATACCGAATAGCGCGACAAGCGATCTCTGACATGGTCTTACAGTCACTTTTCTGTGATTACAGTAATAATTATCTCAAGCGCGTTTAAATAAAACTTAAAATGTTAGGTAAAACAACAATTTGTAACTCATTGGTACTCACTTATCAATGTCATTAGTATTAATTTCTACTTGTGCGTCTGTTATTGAAGATTATTTGTTTGTATAACTATCGGAACAAATTTTACCGCAGAATGCTAGCGGCGATTATTCATCTAAATTTGCAATATTAATTAATATGACATTAATTAATTTTTATGTTAGTTTTTTAAAAAAATAAGGATAATTTTACCTTTATTTCTTTTTACATATTTTGTGAATTCTAAATTAAATCAGTTTTTTGTGCTATTTTATTTGATAAGTATACAGATATTTGATAATATAAAAAGGATTATACTCATAAATTAGTCATGGATTTCATCAAGACATCAGTAGTTTTTGTTTCAATTTGTACCTATATAGCAGCATCAGATATTGATTTATTACCACTAGATGAAGATGAATCAATGTCAGTAACATCTGAAAAGAATTTTATAAAACAACCTGTTGTTAGTCTAGGATTCGTTCATGCCTTTGTAAAATCTCTTTCAATGATTGTTGTGTCTGAACTGGGCGATAAGACATTTTTCATTGCTGCTATAATGGCTATGCGACAATCGAGGTTTACTGTTTTTGCTGGTGCAATATCTGCTCTTGCCCTGATGACAGTTTTATCAGGTGATTTATTATTTATTTGCAATAAAATGTTATAATATAAGTTTATAATCGATGTACTATCTTCTTCTTCTTCCTCCCTTAATCCCAACTACTTGGGGTCGCCTACCCTTATCCTAAACTTCCTCTTGACACGATCTCCCACATCATCTACGCTCACATCAGCTGTCCTCAAATTGCATTCAATAGCATCCCTCCATCTCATTTTGTCTTCCTCTACCTCTTCTTCCTTCAACATTCATTTCTACAACTGTTCTTACAGCTTCCGATTGTTCTTTCTTCATAACATGACCAAACCATCCAAGTCTATTTTCTCTCATCTTATCCACGATTGACGCTATACCTGTACTCCCTCTTATATGCTCATTCCTTATTCTATCTTTTTTAGTCACTCCACTCATCCATCTAAGCATTCTCATCTCTGCTACACTCATTCTCTGCTCTACTTTCTTATCAACCGCCCAACACTCTGAATCATACATCATAGCTGGCCTTATTACAGTCTTGTAGAATTTACCTTTCAGCCTCATTGGAATTCTTTTATCGCATAAGCCACCAGACGCTTCTCTCCACTTTAACCACCCGCACTTAATTCTGTGTCTTACGTCTTCGTCAATACCACCACTCTTTTGCACAACTGACCCTAAATACTTAAAACTCTCCACCTCTCCAATCACGTCCTCACCTATTGTCACTGACCTCCTCATTTCACTTACCTCGTGTTCTCTGTCAAACTCGTACTCTATATACTCTGTTTTACTTCTACTTATACTATATAAGTTAAATTAATTTGATAAAATTGTCATAGTTTTGTATCAAATTACTTTTTAATAAGATAAATAAAAAATAATATAAATCATTATATATATTTTAAATTGTAGACAAAAATCAATGATTAAAATTATTTGTCAAGAGCTGACTGCTCTTTTCATAATTTCTCTTATAATATTTACCATAACGTGGAAAAATTCAGTCAGCCTTGGAAATCATTTTATGGAAAACTATTGTAAACGATAATTATAAATATACAAATAATAATATTATAATTATGAATAAAATTTAAAATATGATTTTTTATAGTTCTTTTTGGGCAGGCTGCTACAATTATACGAAGAGAGTATACTTATTATATATCCGCTGCATTATTTGCCCTTTTTGGTATCAAAATGTTACGTGAAGGCTTTAAAATGTCACCTAATGAAGGTCAAGATGAGCTTGAAGAAGTTCAGGCTGATATCAGACGAAAAGAAACTGAGGTAAATAATTATAATATCACATTAAAGTAGGATGCTTCTCTTGCAAACAAAGTTTGTGTTTTGTGTATGTATTTATGATTTTGTAAAGATTAATATCAGTGGCGGTTTCTAACTTGTGTGCTTAATACCTTCATACCATTTGAAACATAGTTCACTTTTAAATATAATGACACATTCATTATAGTTATTCCTAATTTCAGTAATAAATCATTAAAATTATTACATATTTAAAAAATAAACTTCTAATTGATATAAATATTAGATTATATTATTTAACATATACATTTTCAAATAAATTTATTTTTTAAATTTGAATCCTTGAATTTAATATTATTTTTTTAGTGGATAGATGGTAGATGACTTTTTTCTGATGCAATATATGCAAAAATAGTTTTTTTATAATTTATTTCAATCTATGTTTGAGACAATGTTAATTTAATTAACCGTCACTGTTTTCAAGTTTTATCAATTATTTAAAGATAGGGTTCTTTAGTATCAAAACCACCTCTCTATAATCATATTATATTATATTAAATAAAACAATGAAATTAAGTAAGGTATAAATGCTCAAACCATTTTATCTATTGAATAGTAAGTAAACGTTGTGTAATTATTATGAAACTAAAGTTGGGATGGGGTGGTTATTGAAAAATTAGGGATTCCAATAACCTAACACTCTCTAAACTTCAAAGATAAGTACTTAACATATAGAATTACAGATGTTATTGAGTACGTTTAAAATATATAATTATAAAACAAATACATTATTATGAAATTATTTTGTAAAAATTTCAATATATTATTATTTTACATTATATTCTTTTAAAAATTATATTATGTATTTATAGATAATTCCCTTTAGGTTATGATAAAAAGGAAATGGTTACAAATATGGTTTTCAATAGTGGTGGATTATAAAGTTATTTATAATTAATTAAATTAAGTTTTGCTTTGTCATCAGTATCAAGCATGGACGCCCATCTGATAAAATTTAGTGGGTGTAGATAACTTTTTTTTCTAGTCATCAAACACTTTAATACTTCAGAGAAAAAATGTATTAAAATAAAAAGTTCCTGTAAAGTTAAATAATCAAAAACATGTTTTAAAATTTAAAAACAAAACATATAATAATATTAACGTTATTTTAGATAAAACGAGTACATACAAAATTTTTTATAAAGGAGGATCAAAAAATTTCCAGGGATGGACATATCTCCTCCTTGCCCCTCCAAATGACGCTCATGGTATAAAGCTTATTGCACAATGTGTACCAATGCTATCTTATTGTTTAAGCTATTTTAACTTAGTTGCATTATTATTGAGTTATTATAGTGATGATTGAAATTAGGGCTTTTAGCCCTTTAATTTTTTTTCTTTGTGTATAGTTTCAGGTGTTTATAAGTTTTATTATTTTATTTTTTTTTATTTGTAGTATTTTGTGGAGAGCAGTTTAAATTTTTCTTTCAGAAATGTATTGACTCAAATATTGACTTTTTACTTTACAAATTTATGTACATCAAATATTATTGTAAAGTTAACACAATTAACTAAATTTTGTCAAAAAAGTATTTAACTCTTTTTTGCACTAAGCCCCATCCAAGTGATGTTTGCCAAATAATCAATAAAAAAAACTAATCATTCAATGTTGGTAGTTGATTAATTAGAGTATAATATACTCTAACTATTCATATCAACCTCATAAATTTATTGTATGATTGATTTGAATTGTGATGGTTTGTAATATGCATAATTTAAGAGAGGAATAAGTCATATAATTCTATTTTATTTTTGATAATACATTGTTTGCTTATGTTGATTTTTATGCTTGCTATACTAATATTTGATATTTGCTTTTGTGTGAAAACTGAAAGTAATTTTAGCATATTACTTTGTATGAATGTGGTAATGCTTTTGTGAATTGTCATATTGCTTGAAATGTTAACGAATAACTCCACATTTTCAGTTATGTGTTGATGTTTTGGACTCGTTGCAGAGTCCATCTTCTGAGTAATAGTTACAAGCTCGTGGTATATATTGTTTTTATACATTTAGCTATGTACTTTTGGAGAAGGGTTGCACCATAGACCTATAGATCTCAATGCATGGATAGTTCTTGCCCACCTCTATAGCTAAAACTAAAACTATCTAAATATTTGAATGTTAACTATATAAATGTTTGAAAATAGTATAGTTACAATCATGAACCTGTAACTAACACTCTGACCATAGACTCTACAACGAGTCCGAAACATCAACACATAACTGAAAATGTGGATACATCCATAAACATTTCGAGAAATATTACTTTGTTTTATATATATTAGACAAGGTAACCAGAATTCATTGTTTTCTAAATAATTTAATTTATCTAAAATTTATTTACAATTAAATTTTTAGTTATTCTACTCAATAAATAAAATTAATGGGCTAAAAAATAAGCACTGTATAAATTATATTCTAACTTTTAAATTATTCCTTTTTTTTTTTTATGTACTTTACAATTTCTTCTTTAACTTCTCTATGCTGTGTATTTATTGTTTTGAAATAAAATATAAAATAATTAAAGAATGAGAAGGATAAGAAAGAAACTTCACCTGTTACACAAAATGCTGATGAATTATCTACCACACCTCCTGTGGTCAATACCATTATCCCAAATGTTGACAATGATACAAAGGTAAGAAAAAATATATTCCCTAGTATGTTTTAGTAATGAACTTATAATAATAAACAAGATTTATGTTTTAATAGTAATGTATTTGTTTTATTTCTATGATTTTTTTATTATGTTTTGAGTGTTCTTGTAAAATATTTAAACAAAGATCAAAATAACTATTAAGTACTCAATCAATCTGTAATTATCATTCACTGTTATTGTTAAAATAACAATTAGCAAAAAAATCTTTTGTTCATAATTTTTTTATATAGGAAATTGATATTGAAAATCAATCTCCAAGACAATGGCAGCTTAGGCTGGGTAGTAAAAGCCTATTATTAATATCTCAAACTTTAATTCAAGCATTTACCATGACATTCCTAGCAGAATGGGGAGATCGTAGCCAGATAGCCACTATTATTTTAGCAGCAGGAGAAGTATTTAACATTTATTTAAAAATGAATGTTGAAGAAAAAATTTAATTTATACTTAATTTTTAGAATGCATATGGTGTTGCACTTGGAGGGATTTTAGGTCATTCATTTTGTACAGGTTTAGCAGTTATAGGTGGACGATACATTGCTCAAAAAATATCTGTTCGCACTGGTATGTGTAAATAAAAAACTGTGCATTAATTGAAACATGAATTAATTTTTTTTTACTTACAGTAACTGTTGTTGGTGGTATAGTATTCATAATATTTGCACTAACTGCTTTAATGTTTGATCCTAATGAAGGAGAAACATAATAGTAAATTTTAACATTGCTATGGGAAACTACAAGCTTCTTCAATACAATAAAAAGACTAAATCACTCAGGAAATTCATACATAAAAATATTATTTATTTATTTAATGCAAATTTAAACTTTGTATTGAATTATAATAAAAAATACAAACTGAGTTGTTTATAACTATACTTTTAAAAATTAAGTTTGTTTTGATACATTTTTGTTGAAGTTGATCATTACTGATAAAGCTAATATGTTACCTATTCACAAGGGCAGTGATATAACTAAAATTTTATTAATATAAATTTGTTATTGTTGTATTTTTTAATTGACCATAGTTTTAAGCAATTTTATTTTATAAAATTTACCTGTAAAACTTAAATATAAAAATTATATAAGAAAAGTATTCTAATTTTTAACTGTTAAATGTGTGTTACCTATAGTGATACCATAATTATTCAAGTTTTACATCAATGATCTTTATTTACATTTTATGTTGGTCGTTTAAAATGTTAATTTTGTTTGATAATGCATTTAAAAGTATTGCCTTATAGTACTTAAATTTGTTAACTACAACACATAAAATAAATTATTTTTTAAGAAATATGAAACATTTTGTATATTTATTAAAAAATTATATCAATTTCATACATATTATAATTAAGTGTTTAATGACAAATCAATATATATTTTAAGTAGTACAAAATTACATAAATTACAATTATTTTACAACTAATTTATAATTATTTTCTTAAATTTGACTAGATATTAAGTAAGTAGCATAAAAGCTTTTATTATATATATGTATATAAAAATAGAAATTATACATATCAATCTTATCTTAAATTATTAGTAGATTCTACATGGTTGGTACACGATTTAGACAAAGGAAGAAAATTAGGCCGTGCTAATATATTAGAATTTTGACAACATGCATCTGGTGTTTGAACAGCTATTATATCAGTTTGTGTCTCAGCTTCATTAGTAACAGAAGGACTAACGCATCTCAACACAAGATCCATTGAGTTTTGAAGTTGTTGTACCTAAAAAAAAAAATCAAATTGCATTATTTTTTTATAAAATATTGTCTAACAGTTTTCATCAATTCTTCATTTTCAAATTAATAACTTAACCTTGAAAAAAATTGATTCTAGAATAATTCAAATAGTGATCCTTTATTATATACAAAATTTAAAGAAACTTTTGTAACATGCTTATATGATTCTCCATGTTAAATACTAATTGAAAACAATAAAATTTCATATCAATTATATTAAATTAATGATCTAAACATAAAAACAAAACTATTGATTATGCCTAAGTATACAAATAAATATATTTTACTAAATATTTAGGTTACCCAATTTTATTTAATAATAGCATCCAATAACTAATCATTTTTTTTAAGTCAATTTTTTTTTTAATAATTAAGTAGAAGTGAGCATAATGAACGTACATAGATACATGTGTAATTCTAACTCAATATTAAATAAATAAAACTAAACTAAACCTTTATTTTTAAAACTGATATTAAATTTTAAAGGTTATATATTTCTTACTAAAATACACATATACAATGAATATGGTACCAATTTAAAAAGTTGATTTTAAGATATGTCTATTTAGATTTTACAATTCTTAAAATTACTTTCACAATATAATAGACTACTTTAAAATTTATGAACAAGATAAATTAGATAATAGCTTTCAGTAATTATTTTATTTATTATGCATTTCAATGAGTTTTTCAATATTATAAAATTCTGTTTTATTTTGTCATTCATATTTTGTATGATTAAATTCTTTTTATTACCTTAGTATCTAGTATAGTACATGTTTTTTCAAGGCATTTGTAATTGTCATTTCCGCTGTTCTCTCCTATTCGACTATCAATACTATTTACCTAAAATATTATTAATTAAGTAAGCAATAATTATAATCAAAACTATTTTAATCTCTAGAATTCGGGAGTCATATTTTGAATTAAAAAGAAGAAAATATAATATACATAAAATTATTTGTATATCATATAATTTGAAGAGTAAATGCAGATAAAATTTATCTTTACGATACAAGTAATTAAAAGTTAATACATCAAATTATAAATTATAAAAATTACTTTTTTCCATAATTCATTGACAGCTTGCATTTGTGAAATGATTAATTCATGTTCTTTTTCAAGTGTAGATTTTGTGTCGCCCAAATCTTTATTTAAATGCCTATATACATAATTTAGAAAAATTTTAATAACATATGGTAATACACCAATTAATTATTTGAAATTTTTATTAGAAAATTATTTCACTACTTTATATATTCATTAAAACGAAGCATCTGTAAATTTTGATATACATTAGCTACAGTTTTGTTGAGATTTCGTACTTGATATCCTCTCCAATATTTTTGTATTATAGTTGCTGATTGATTTAAATCTATAGGTAAAAAAAGATATTAGTTTTAATTTAAAAATTTCTTTTAATAGAATATTTTACCACAATTATTATTTTCATTAATGTTCATCAATGTTGCTTTATTTTTTATAGTTTGTAGTTTTTCCATGGTTGGTGCTCTAGATTCTTCACCAGCAGGAGTCTGAAGCCCTATTATTGGTCTTGAATTAGGTAAACAGGGAGTAAGAGGACTTGGTAAACTATCTAAAATTGGTAACATAGTACTGGCTGCTGGTAAAGGTTGAGATTGCCCTTTACTGTCAGATAATGGTAAATGTACACTACGTATCATACTACTTGGAGTAACTTGACAGCTTTCAGGACCACTAGATAATCTTTGAGTTGTAGACTTTAAGGCACTTGGATCTAAACTTCTAGTCATTAAAGAATCTTGTGGTGTCACAGTAGAGTTTGGAATAGATGTTCCTAAAAATAATTTTTTTTTAATAAAAAAAACCCAGAGTACAAGGTATTACACATTTAAAATAGTTTAATTTGGTTAGCCAACATTTTATTACAAAAAACATTATGAAATCTAAAGAAAGCAGTCAGACTAACAAGATAAAAAATTCCAAATCATAAAAAACTTATTTCATAAGCATAGATCATAATTTATAACTAAAATTTCCTTTATTAATGAGCATTAAAATAATTTTATTTATACCTAAATTACAGCTAAAATTTAATGATAAAGAATAAAAACAATCATTTGCAATCGGTGCCTTAATTTATAAATATATTTTATTAATAAAATATGACATATTTTTATACATTATCATTTTTTACACATTAAAATGGTACTTATTTAACCAACTTTCAAGACTATTTTAATGAGGAGTACCCACATTTTGTTCTATATGGTAAATAAATATTTTTCGTAAATTTTAAGTGTTCTAGATCAACCCCTTATGTTCCTCAAAAGGGGTTGAAAATATAGTTTTCTGTATGTATCTTATAAAATATTAAAAATGATTTTAAGTTATTTCAGGTCATGAAATTCCTATATTTTTAAAAACAATTGAAACACAAATAAATCAAACAAACTTTAGCATGTATAAAAGTAATATGGAAATCAAAAAAATATTTATGGTATAAAACATATAATTCAATGACTCTGATTAGGTATGAATTTTTATATCAAAATTCGAAAAATTGGTTAAATAATAAAAGTATTGTAGAAGTCAAAAATATTTTAAAACATTTAAGTGGTGTTACTGATGCTATGAACATGAGGTAGAGTTAATTGAAAAATTTGACACACGGTTTACAAAAATTTTCTATTTGTTGGTTATAATATCATAATTGTAAGTTAAACCAAAAAAGTTATACAAATAAGTTCAGTTTTTTTAAAAAATAATGACAATAAATAAATTTAAATAAATCAGATGAACTTATATTTTGCACAATTCTTATTAAATATCATGAAATTATCTTAGGAAAGTTAAAAACAATTTAAAAATTTTACATTTTTTCAATAAAATTTAAACATGTTATTATCACTTAATTACAAATTAGTAATTATCTAAAAAACTAACTAGATGTGATAGAAAAAATCTGAAACCGGATTCCAAATTAGCATAGGTCAATGATACAAAAATGCATATAAAGACCTTTTATTTTCCTAAAATGTTTTACTAGAAGATTGATTCTATACATGTTTTTTATTATTTTTAATATATAAAAATATACACACAAAAAACTATATTTCTCTCCCTTTTCTTCAATTTTCAACCCCTTTGAGGTACATGTTGGGGTTCACCTAGAAAATTCAAAATTTATAACAAATTTTTTTTACAATATAACACAAAATGCAAGGTACTACCCTTCTAGTTTAAAAAATAAACCAAGTGGTCAAATAAAGACCACTTTAATATACATCTGCATAGTATTATTTCAAACTCACTATGTAATTGTTCTCTATACTGTTGAGCTTTACTTAAAACTAATCGTAATTTCCTTTCATGTTCAGTTTCCAATGCATGGTTAGTAATTGGACAAGTTTCTGTTAGATACCGAACTAGAGCAGCATGTTGACCAGTATGAAATTTTCTACCTTGTCCTTGACTGTAAAGCCATTCTGCTTTTAAGCTGTAAAAACGTATACTTTAAAAAAAGTGAAAAAAGAAAATAGATTTTGAAACATTTACTTTTCAATGTCATCAACTGCATAACCATCAATTACTTTTACATTAGGACACCAATTCACAATATAGGGCCGGTAATTAAATTTATAATCTTCTAAGCAATTATTACCAGTTAATGAAATTTCTTTTAAAGAATTTAGTCGGCATAATTGTGATATTTCATTTAAATCATTAAGATTATTGTTGGCTAATGTTAGTATATTTAAACTTATTGGTAAAAAATTTTGACAGTTTGTTAAATGACAAATCTGATTTGAATGTAAATATAATCTCTATAAAAGAAAGTATAAGTATCACAATAATTTGAAGTGCTAATATTTACAAAAATAATTTCTAATTAATGACACTTTACTTCTAATTTCAGTAGATGACTTAGATTGGTAATGTATGTAATGCTATTAAATGAAAGATCTATATGTACCAAATTTACATTTGTATTTAAATGTTCGATTATCTGAAATAATATATATATTTATATATACATGGGATTTATCAATAATGTGCATAATATATTATCATTTTCATGCAAAAAGTGAAGTAATAAAATAAACTATTTCTTTTTCAACTTCGATTTTATTAATATAAACAATTGAATTAAACTAGAACTTATTTATTTTGATAAAGCTTAAGATAACATTAAAACTTCAATATTATAATAATCAACTATCAAGATTGTAGTTTAAAAACTAGTAAGAAAATGAAGATTGTAAATATTAAACAATTTTGTTATTTTTAATAATTTGTGAACACATAACTCTTTTTATGAAACTTATATAAGTTTACATTGTAACTCTAAGCATGACTTAATGACTTCCATAAAAATTCAATTTTTTAGATGATCTTACTTTGATTTTATTATTAGATAAATTAAGCCATTTTAAGTTGACTAAATCTCTAAGTCCCTCAATACTCATTAAGTGATTGTTGGATAAATCTAACTTAACAATTTTTGTTAACTTTGAAACAGTATACATCCTCATCATTTGATTATGACTTGCAATCAACTATAAAAAAGTATAAGCTCAATAATTTAACCAAAAATAACATTCACTAAACAATAAAATACATTACTTCAATAAGATTATTATAATTTTCAACATTTTCCAATTTTTGTAAATTATTTTTACTAACATCTAAAATATTAATATTATGGCACGTTTCAGATTTAGGTAACTTTCGTAGTTCTTGATCTGACATGTTTAACAAAGATTCATCTGTAAAAAGAATTTAATCAAAATATTTAAAGGTAAAAGAAGTTATTTTTCATGGTATATTTATTTAATATATTCAGATAAGTATAGAAAACCTAAAAAAAAGGTGGTCAAACTTTTAAAGGTTTTTTCTAAATAAAACATAATAATACACATAATTTTTTAAGAATGCAAATTTAATGCTTATTTCCTCTTTATTCTTTGTAGGCCAAAATAAATATTATTTTTTATTTTTTATAGATAAGTTTAAAGAACACTCACTTTTAATACAGCATTAAAATCAAACTAATTTCTTATTTTTAGTCATAAATTACAAAATATATGCTTTTAAAAATCCTAATTATAGATATTCAATTACTAATTGAAGGTCTGTGTGCTAAAATAAGAAACTCTGATTTTTCAAACTCAAATTTTAAGTTATTAAGATAAAAGTTAAAAAAATTTTGTAGTTATGAAAATTGGAGTTATCTTGTATTTTTTACAGAATCCTTTAATTGAAGAGTTAGATAAATTAATATATGTGTATATTATATAATATTAATATATAAGTTAAAATGTAGCTTAATCTTTACCTTTCACAAACAATTTCAAAATAATGATATTTTTTTAAATTTACACCTATGTATATTATTAAACTTGAAATACCTCAATACATACCTGCCATTTTATAAATAATAACTATTTTCTCATCAAATGTTAGGAATTTAAAATAAAATAAATAAATTTTGTAATGAAATTTCAACAAATGTATTATTTATACAATATTATATTGTATACGTATGATATATATTGTATATAGGTGGTGTAGTAATGAATCGAGAATTAAAATGATATATTTCATATATTTTTAGAGTGTCATAATTACTATGAAAAGAAGTTTGTTTACAGTTTTACTACACTATATTATCTCAACCTGCTTGTAAATCAATTAGATGTTAGCATCGAGTTATCAAAATTGATAACAGTTAATTTAAAACATTAAGTATTATACTATAATTTAAATTAATGGTTATTACGATAAACCGGAACATACTTCATCTTTTATGATTGTATCTTGACAAAAGAAAACATTGCCTTGTTTTTTTTTTTTACTGTATGAACAAATTGTGGAGTTATATCGTTAAAATGTCTATTATTATGAGTATTATTAGGAATTCAATTTTCTTTTCGTGATATTAATTTATTGTTAATAATATCAAAAGTTACAAAATAAAAAAAGGTAAGTTAATAATTTGTTATTCTTAACAAATATAGCAAAAGGTTTGTAGAAATTTTAAACACACGTGTTTTGATCGTTTAAATTAGTGTTTTTGGGATGTATTGGAGATGTTCCAAAGTAAGTTACGCATATTATTTGCGTTGCAGTCATCTCAAGTATTGTACCATTTCCAAATCAGCCATGCCTTCTAATGAAGCTGGATTAGTTGTTGAAAAATGCTATGAACCAAGAGTTGTGATCAATAATAATAATAAAGCTCCTCGTTTGGTACCAAAAGAAAAGTCTGAATTTCGTAAAAATGAATTAAATATTCAAATGTTGTCTAGTAATTTATATGATCAACTTTTTAATGAATCTCATAATATAGATGATAATGTTTTGCGGACAGCTCTACACGATTTATCAAAATTTGGACTTCCATCAACATTACACCCAATCTCAGATATTGAACTCCAGTTACCTCCATTGGAAGGGAATATTGTTGAACATTTTTATGAAATTGGTAGAATTCAAAGTGAACCTTATACTATTTTAATGAAGGAATTTTTAAAAAGTTCTATTCCTGAAATTCCTAAAAAATGGGAATTTAAAGAAGGATGGACTCGATATTTTAATGGTGTAATAGAACCTTGTGATCATCCTAAAGAAAAAGTAATGATTTTTGATGTTGAAGTATGTTGTACAGAAGGCGATTTGCCTACAATGGCTACTGCTGTAACATCAGATGCTTGGTACAGTTGGGTAAGTAAAGATTTAATCAATTGTAATACCAGAATAGGTCGAAATTTGGGTTATTCTTGTAAAGATTTAATCTCTTTAGAGTCAGCAGCTCATTCTAAAGAAAAAACAACTGAGTGGACAAACTTACCCAAATTATGTATAGGGCATCATGTGGCTTTTGATAGAGCAAGAATAATGGAACAGTATTGGTTAAGTCGTACTGGTCTTAGATTTATTGATACTATGTCATTACATGTTGCAGTAAGTGGTATTACTAGTTATCAAAAAGCATTGTTAAAATCCAAAAATATTATTGAAGATGAATCTTGGCAGCAATATAGTTCATTAAATAGTTTGAATGAAGTATATAAACTGTATTGTAAATCTGAGTTATCTAAAAGTGATCGTGATATATTTGTTAAAGGCTCTTTAAAAGATATTATTAATAATTTTCAAAATTTAATGACTTATTGTGCAAATGACGTAAAAGCTACTTCTCAAGTATTATATAAATTATGGCCATTATTTTGTGAAAGATTTCCCCATCCAGTAACTTTAGCTGGTATATTAGAATTAGGTACATCCTATTTACCTGTTAATTCAAACTGGAAAAGATATTTAGATACTTCAAATGAAATATATGAAGATTTAAATATAGAATCCAAATTTTTACTATCGCAGCAAGCAAATCAAGCTTGTCAATTAATGTACAATGATAATTTTAAAAAAGATGTATGGCTTTGGGATCAAGACTGGACTTCAAAAGAATTTAAATTAAAAAAAGAAAAGAAAAAAAAGGCTGAAATTACTGTTGAAAATAAACCAATTATAGCCGAAGATATTTATGAAGAAAGATTTTTATATTTAGAAAATAAATTTAAAAATCTTATGAAAACAAATGAACGTATGCCAGTAAAAACTCCACATCTAGCTGGATATCCAGAATGGTATAGAAAATTATGTGCACCACCTAAAGATCCTAACTGGGTACCTGGTCCTAATTTAATAAGTTCAGGTATGCATATAGTTCCTAAGTTACTCTCCCTTATGTGGAAATCTATTCCATTACATTATGTAAGAAACCATGGTTGGGGACAACTTGTCCCTTACGAAACTGATATTAAAATTCCTAATGCTGAACTTGTGCCTCTTACTGTACTACAATTTCATTGTGTTCAAAATAATGTATCGTGCAGTTGTGATATAAAAATTAGTCCCTCTGAAATCCATGAAGACGTTCAAAAAAACTTAGTCAAATATGAATGTAATTTCAAGAAGAAATTCAAAAAAAATAAACCACAGATTATATGTAAGAATAATTTTGGAATTTATTGTGGCCTTATAAAACTTCCTCATAAAGACGGTAATCACTTGAATGTAGGTAATCCTCTTGCGAGAGATTTTTTAAATAAATTTTCTCAAAGTGGGTTATCTGGAAGAGATAGTAAAGCAGAGCGAATAATTGAAATATCACGTATGTTGTCTTATTGGAGAAATAACAAGGAACGTGTTGAAGGACAAATGGTTGTTTGGACAGATAAGTCTGAAGGTCGAGGTGCAATTATACCACAAGTTGTAGTATGTGGTACATTAACCAGAAGAGCTGTTGAAAAAACCTGGATGACAGCAGCTAATGCCATTGATGAAAGAGTGGGCTCTGAATTGCGCAGTATGATTCAAGCACCTCCTGGTTATCATTTGGTGGGAGCTGATGTAGATTCCCAAGAACTGTGGATTGCGTCCATAATAGGTGATTCTTATTATGGAAAAGAACATGGTGCTACTGCCTTTGGATGGATGACACTTAGTGGTAAAAAAAGTGATGGAACTGATATGCATAGTGTTACAGCTAAGACAATAGGTATTACAAGAGATAATGCTAAAGTATTAAATTATGCTCGAATATATGGTGCAGGCAAGCCTTTTGCTGAACGTTTGTTAAAACAGTTTAATCCAGACTTAACTACTACTCAAGCAAAACAAAAAGCTATAGCTATGTTTAATATTACTAAAGGAAATAGAGTTTTTAAATTACATGATTCAGTTTTACCTGAACTAAGTAAAAGAGAATACTCTAGATGTGGAGCTGAAGATATTTGTAAAATTTATAATCTCAGTGGTGAAGAACTATTTCAAAAACCTGTTTGGAAAGGAGGTTCTGAATCAGCCATGTTCAATAGCTTAGAACAAATAGCTTGTTGTAAGGAACCAAAAACTCCATTCTTAGATTCTAGACTTAGTCGAGCTTTAGAAGTTCAAGGGAGTAATGTGGAAAAATTTATTCCAACCAGAATTAACTGGGTTGTACAAAGTGGTGCTGTCGATTTCCTTCATTTAATGCTAGTCTGTATGCGATGGTTAGTCCATCCTAATGTGAGATTCTGTTTAAGTTTTCATGATGAAATTCGATATCTAGTTCCTAGTGAATATCGTTACCAAACTGCTCTTGCTCTGCACATAACAAATTTATTAGTCAGAGCATTTTGTGTGAAAAAGTTAGGCATGACTGATTTACCTCAATCTGTAGCATTTTTTAGTTCTGTAGAAGTAGATACTGCACTGAGGAAAGATGCGACAAATGACTGTATTACTCCTTCTAATCCTTATGGATTATCAAAAGCTTATGGAATTCCTCTTGGTGAATCAGTAAATATAATACAAGCTATTGAACTATCTGGTGGTAATATTGGTGTGTTTAAAAATAAAAAGCGAAGAAAACTATAATTCTAAAGACATAAATTGTAGTTGACTATTTTTATAATTAAATTTTTTTCTTTTTTTGCTATTATTATTATTATTATACCTCTATTAAATAATATTTTTTTACAGAATGTCTAAAGCTACTAAACGTAAGCATGTTCAAAAAGAAATGCTCAATTCTAATTGGGCAGGTCCTACTGGTGATCAACGTTTAGTAAGGATAATTGCTGGACGTGGAAATAATCTTCATGAAGTTTGTTCAATAGATGACAATGAAATATTTTTAGTTTCAATGCCAGCTAAATTTAGACGAAATGTTTGGGTTAAACGTGATGATTATGTTGTAATAGAACCAATTTCTGAGGGTGATAAAGTACGAGGAGAAATAGTACGAGTATTAACTAAAGAAGATGTTAAAATATTTAAACAAAAAGGATGGGGGAAGAAAAATGATGATGATGAAATAACTCCCAATACTAACCGACCTATTGTAACTACCATTAGCGACTTGAGTAGTACTGACACTGACACTGATCATGATGATCCATCTGAAGACACAGATTATTCATCATAAATAAATAAGGGCTAATTCTTCTCTATGTGCTAAACAAAGACTATTCTATTAAATATTTTGTGATTTATGTATTAAGTGTAGTATAAAAGATATTTACAAATTTAAGTAATTATTTATTTATAATAATTTTAAGTATTCTGAAATAAAATGTTCAAAATAATTATAATAGATATTTAGTTAATTATTTTTAATTAAAATAAAGTAAGTGCTAGTCAATTTTCTCATGTTCAGTAAAAACGACTTGGGGGGAAAAATTATAATTTTTCACCTATAACAATGAATAGAGCACAAAAATATTTAGATTTTGTTTTGTTGAATACTCTTAGTATTATTGATGATAATAGTTGTCTTTAATAAGTAGAAATTTAATTATGTTTTAATAATTGATTAATTATTAGGTACAACAAGCATATGCCTACTTATAAAAATTTTGGAATTTATAATTTATGTCGTTTGTATAAATCATCAAAGAATTTTTCCATAAATCAATGTTGATATTATTTATTTTTTACTTTAAATTTAAATAAAGTTTTGAAAATTTGACCGATTATTGCAATATTTTTATTGATAATACTTAAAACATTTGTATTGCCAACGACATACTTTTTTCAAAAATCTTATCAATTTTTTTTCTTCAATTTTTGATAATGTATCAAAAAACCAGTTTTCTTTAAAACTACATAAAGTAAAAGCTAATACAATGTATTTTTAGATGAAAAATTAATAACTACCGATATTTTGTTTCCTAAGAGTTATTCGGTATTAAAGCTAAATATGGCCGGATTTCTAGTTTATTGCATAATGGAATACTCGCATTATTTAAGTTGTTCCAAATTAAAATCTGTTTAATGTGTAATTTACGATTAAATAAAAAAAAATTTCAAGTAACTTATGCTCTATGACTAATCGGTATACTAAGTCAAAAAAATTTTTATTTGATACACAATATGTATAGAAGAGTTCAGTTTAGTATAAATACCAAAAAAAAAAGGCAAAGTAAAAACAACCTATTAGTAAAATTACCTTATCTGACATAATATAAACATAAAACTTATTTTTTTTTCCATAAGGAATAATTTATGTTGCTGACACCATTTCATAAGAGCGGAAATAGGAAAGGGTAGATTATTCGTTAATATATCACTGTGATCAGAATAACAACTAAAAAAAACTTTTTTATGTATAAAATAAAAAAATCAATTTTTTTCAAAGATTCACTGGTAAAAATTACAATATTTGATATGATATATTAGAGCTTAATTAATAAAACCTTCTTAAAAAATTACTATTTTATTCTTGCTGATGCATTGTAAAAAAATTAAATGTGTCAAGTTTATTTACTATTTTTGCAGAAAAGCGATATTCATTACAATAGCGTATTTAGACACTTTGTTTAGGGGGTCTAGATAGGTTTTAGAATATAATGTAGTGGGAAGGTTTATTACTCCACTACCTCTGTTTCTATGATTTTATGTCCAGAGGGAATCTAGACACCATGCCCTCTGTAAACATTCTTATTTTGTTATGCAATTTTCAATAATGGGTTAAAAACATGTCCATATGAGTGTGTTAATTTGAAATATATATAGACTCAACTTATAGAAAATAAACATGAACACCTTAGTTGTTATTTTGTATGATATTAACGTTTTTGTACGTTAATTTTTTCAATATTTTTATAAACAGAAAAGTTATTACATGAAAATGCAAAATTTTGCAATGAGAGTAAATTAAAAAAGTTTTTATTGCTCTGTCTTTAAAAAGAATAAATTAAAAATTTTTTCAATACAACAAGGATGAAATATTAACCCACAGAAAGTAGATATATTATTGATGAAATTCGATATCTAGTTCCTAGTGAATATCGTTACCAAACTGCTCTTGCTCTGCATATAACAAATTTATTAGTCAGAGCATTTTGTGTGAAAAAGTTAGGCATGACTGATTTACCTCAATCTGTAGCATTTTTTAGTTCTGTAGAAGTAGATACTGCACTGAGGAAAGATGCGACAAATGACTGTATTACTCCTTCTAATCCTTATGGATTATCAAAAGCTTATGGAATTCCTCTTGGTGAATCAGTAAATATAATACAAGCTATTGAACTATCTGGTGGTAATATTGGTGTGTTTAAAAATAAAAAGTGAAGAAAACTATAATTCTAAGGACATAAATTTTCTTATTATATGTTGTAATTTTGATATATTCAAGCTAAATATTTTAAAACAAATTTTAGTTTGGAGGCTGTGATACCATCATGGTCATTAAAAAAAAATTAAGCTTTTAAATTTTTGTCAAAAGAGTTATTAATAATTTTATTAATAATAATAATATTACATCTAAAGAATGACAACAAAATTTTACAAACATTAAAATTTAACAATACACGTTATCACTTTAACAGGCAATACTAAGCCTTTTTTGGTATAATATCAGAACAGAATAATAGTAGCATATATATATATATATAATTTAGGTAAACTATTTTATTTCACATATCTTTCAAAGTATACAATTATGAATTTTCTAATAATTGTATTAATGGTTTACTTATTACATTTATTATTTTTAACTTAAACAATTAATTTCTTTAACAAAATGTCTTCTAATAAAAAAAGGGCGGAATAAATTTAAAGCATAGTGAACTGTCAACCAATAATAATACTTTTCAAAGGAAACAAATAGTGTAGGAACTATTGTCTTTTAGATAAAATTTAAGTACATTCTATATATTTTAAGTAAAACGAGATTCAGAAATAGCAAATTAATTAAAGTAAATGCTTTTATATATACACATAAAAACACATACTGGTTCAATACTTTTTCTTAAAGAAACGAGAACATAGCATAATTTGTCATTACTATAAAATTAGTAAGATTCACATTTATTCTAGAGAAAGTGAAAATTTTCAGAGAATTTTAAACTGGTGTGAAATTGCCATTAGGTTTGTAAAAGAATTGTCCACGCATTATTCGCCTAAAAAGTTCTTGTCTCAATAATTTTTTTTCTTTTGCTAGTTTTTTCAAGACACCTTTGTTCTCCATAGCTCGACGAGATAGATATGGAAGCACTTCATTCACTGGTCCATAGGGTATGTACTTATAAGCTGAATATCCAGCTTGACCTACGTTTTTATTTAAAAATAATTTAATAAAAAATATTTTCTAACAAACGATATAGTAATTAAAACATACCAAGAGGAAAAGTGATAAAATCACACATTCCAAGTAACTGTCCAAAACATATCACTTTGTCTTCAGGAGAGATTCCGATTTCTTTCATTCTAATTAGAGAAAAAATAATTAAAATAAACATGTTTATAAAAAAATATATATTTAGGTGTTTTATAAATAACAAGTACTGTGTTTTGTTTTATTGTATTGATAATTCCAATCCATATTATAACTTTTGATATGCCAATTTTGGTTACTTGAATTTCATATTGTATGAATATATTAGACACTATTCTGTGTCTCTGTAAAATTTACATATATAAAACACAAAAACGCTAATCTAACCCTATCCAATCTTGTTTTTACACGTTCTCTTCTAATTAATGTAAGAGACACCTGAAGTATACTTCACTTAATTTTAATTTTATTGAGGAATAAATAATAAAATTAAGCACTTACTTGGAAATTGCAAAACGAACTGTATCTTCATTATGAGAAGCAACCATTATACCAATTTTATTTGGACTTTTACCTTTGTCTTTAAGATCTTTTATACGTGTCAAACATTCAGTTAAAGTATTATGATACATCTGAGTAGTTGCTTCATATGAAGGATTAGTAGGATCAGCATAACCTAATGCAGCAGCTCTTGCTCTTTCCTAAAATTAAATTTTTTTTTCCATTTCATTGAATTAATAAAAAGAAAATATTTAATAAAAGAATTAGTTTAAATTGATTAAATAAAAATTATTACTTGATCAATATAGGCACCTCGTACAAGTTTTGCACCAAAGTAAAACTTTTGTCTTTCAGCTTGATTAAGATCAGTCTTAACTTCATTGAGTGTTTCTTTTAGGTAACATTGGTATGTATTAAATACTATAGCTTTTTCAGTATTATATTTTTGCATTAGTTCAAGAGTCAATCTTGAAATAGCAGGTTGAAAGTATGTTTGCTCAGCATCCACCATGAGACGAACATCTAAATCTCTAGCAGTCTAAAATAAGTCATATAGTAATAATTATACTCAGTTATAAAAATTGAGTAATAGTGAGACATTTATAGATATACTTGAACTAATGTGTTGAGCCGGTGAACCATGTTTCGGAACATTTCTTCTTCTTTCTTGGATAGTTGAGATAATAGTCTGACCATTCGACCTTCTTTCAAACATGGTACACGAAAAGAATCACTGAGTTCAGAATTTTCATCTAGTAAACCACTCCATGGAAACAGATGTATAACACTAAAAAAATAATTTATTTAAATAAAAATTAAAAAATTAACATCCAAATTCATTATACCCTTGACTGTCTTTGGTAACTTTTTCCAAAAACTTTTTTGTATCTTTAATGCCAGCTTCAAATAGACGTTTTTCTAATTCTTCAAGAGTTAAATCTTGACCGATAACATTTCCTTTGCCACCCATTAACTCACTCGCTAATGAACGAGCTCTCATAATCACTTCTGATAATTGTAGCTAAAAAAAATAAACAATTCAATACATAAAAACCATTTCATAAATTATATTTAAACATTATTTTTGATATGATATAATGTGAGATGATAACCTTGCTGAAACTTAACACAATAATAATAATAATAATAATAATAAATTATTATAAGAACCTATATAATTGATGTAGACAGGGATCATGTCCCTTTTATTGACAGCAATATTAATTATCAAAATGAATTAATGGGCAAAAAAAGGTCTAAAATATGGATTTTTTTAGAGTTTTTTGACTATGATTCTTCATTTTTAAGAAATCTTGGAGGCATATTCTTAAAACAATGATAAATTATATAATGTTTGATAAATTAATTAATCAATCGAGGTGTATTCTTAAATAATGGTATTAATTTAACGAATGAAAATCATTCGATATTTTGTCTATTGAATAAAACTTAGTGATAAAAATTAAATGAATATTTTTAATGTTTTATCATAAGTAAGATTTTTATTAACTAAACATAAAAATGTATAATATATGTGAATAATAAATAAATATATATCATTAATAAACAAAATTAAAAACTTAATTTTTGGATAATCAGCGCGAAAGAGTTTTTTTATGCATATAACGTGGTAGGTCAAACTAGCGTTGACGTGGCGACTCTTTCCACTCGGCTCGACAATAATACGTAAAATAAAAATGTTAAACGGCCATATAAAGATAATAAAAATTTCGATTAAAAATAGAACAAAAAAAGAAAATTTATAATTTTTTTTTAGGAATTGACGTACAAATGTATCAAAAATAAGTATCACGAAGCATATTTCCTTAAACCCTGCATCAAATCCTCCATTGGTGCATGTAAATGAATTTTTTTTAGTAAATATAAAATTTGTATTTATTTATCACAAACCGAATAAAAAATCCAGCACAGGTGGATCGCGGCACAGTGGTGACGTGGAATAGTTGGATTAAGTATAATAATATCTCAGTGATTAAAATCACTATCAAAAAAAAAAAAACGCTTCGATGCAAATCTTTAGATAGTGTTTAATTTTAATTGGTGGATTATTCCAAAAACTACATGATCTGCTATTTTCTTATTAATATCCTGAATGAAAAAGGGATTATTAAAAAATATTATTTCTCATAAAAAAATTGTGTTGATCCATTCACTTTCAATAAGTTATAGCATTATAAAGTTAAAAATGTAAAAAATAAAATCAAGAATATTCACACAAAAATAGCATTCGGTAGCCATTTTCACCATGAAGACAAGTCCAGATGTCAAATTTCTTTTTTCAATAATAAAGTATGTATTGTATGTATGTATTACATACATACAAATCTTTAATATAAGATACATAAAAAAGTGTCAGACCTTCCGGAACACTTTCAAAAGTTAATTTTTTTGTGAAAAAGTTGTCATTTTAAATCCCCCTCTATGGGCAGGTAAAGGGTTAAATTTATAAAAAAAATATACCAAATGATAGGTAAAGACATCAAGCATCTATAAAAAAAATTATATTAATATGTTCATTTTTGAAAAAGTTACGGCAGTTTTTAGTAAAAAAAATTGAAAAAATTTCGAAAATTAGCGATTATTTATACAGTAAAATAGAAGTTATAAGCACAATATATATTTATATACTTCATTGATTAATAACTCACAAAATTATAATTACAAAAATTATACAAAAATAATGTACTAAATAATATGTTTAATGATTTTGTTTGTTAATTAAGGTGTTTACGCTTTTCAATATTTTTGTACAAATTGTAATTTTTTCTCATTATAATATATAATTGTTTTTTTTTTTATAAAATACCACTTGTCTTTTATTGTTTTTTAAAATACGTATTATACATAATAATACGTATAATTGTATTATATAATTTACATCACGGTGTCTAATTATTAATTAATTTAAATCTATTTTAACAACTATAATACAATGATTATATAATATATATATATATGCGGAACATTTTTTAAAAACTATTTTCTTAGATTTATATGTAATTACGTGAGTAAATTTTTTGTTTTATTTTAAAAATAAAGAATGTTTACCAAAAGTTGAGGACGTCCGAGAGCTGTTAGTTTAATTGCTGTGATTCCTGTACCATAAGTGGCCCCTAATAAAAATATTAAAATATTATATTCATCGTTAATTACTATTTAATATTTACTAAATAAATCATCAGTCATATTTTCTTTACATTTATGTAAAAAAAAAAAAATCGATAAATTAACTAATCAATAGTTTTTTTAACAATAACAAAGGAAGTGCAAAAATCAACCATGCTCTAAGAATGTTTGTTTAAAATAGAGAATTTTTCGGTTATTGATAAGAGAAAACACGTGTTTCTATAAACGAGCTAGTAGTTAGGCAATTTTTTTATTCTAGGCATCTATATACAAGGCGATCAAAATCTGATACATTTATTTTCTCGAAAACTATTGAAAATTTTGAAGTTTTGTAAAAAGAAAAATTATTTGGTTAAAAATACTCTACAATAAGATTATAGTAAACAACATTTTTTTTTTATCCCTTCAGGGTTAAAACACCTGAAATTTAATTTGAACCCCTAGTTTTAATTTAATGATATTAAACCGGGTTCTCACAAATGGTGTACTTGACAAGTACACCAGTCGTGGGATTTAAAAGAAAAAATTATAAATAATTTCATCTGTTATGAAATGTCTAAGTTAAGTGATTTTATTTTAATGGTATTCATTTTTCTATGCTATCACATTAAAAACACATTTTTATTGATTAAGATATGATACCTAAGATAGCAGAATAGAATGTTAAGATAACAAAAGTTTTCTTGATAAATGCCATAATAAGTAATTTATGGGTTATCGAAACGGATTATTGCTTCTACTGATATTATAAAACTAAATCAATAATAAATTTTTACTTGAAATCCAAATCGTCTAACAATCTTAAAACGTTAACGGTTGACTGGATAAAAAATATATACGAACAAAATGATTTGCAACTTTTTTCTATCATGTTACGAAAATTAACAATGAGAGTTTCCATTTAAAAAAATTAAATTTAAGGATTTTTATCCCTTACGGAATGAAAAAGTATTTAACTATGTATTATTAGTTTTTACAGCTAAATTTTCTTAACAAAAATTAAAAATGTTAATAGTTTCTGAGAAAATGATTGTCTTGCCAAATTTTGATCTTCCTATATAGACACCATGCATTTATGAAACATTGATACATAGTAAAAGATATTTGCGTAACTCCTGAGATCAAATTACATATGCAGTATACAAATATTTTCTAAAACTTAAAATAATTCTAAAACGAAGAGTTTTTTCAAACTTTTGTTCAGAATAAAAAGCAAATACGATACTCTTTTTTTTTTTTTTTTGTAATTGATTTTTGAAGTATCTCATCGTAGTTATTATTTTATATTGAATAATATTGTTCATTTACACTTTTTCATAAGATAGCTATTTTTAAGCTATGGATGTTTTTGTAAAACGTCCCTTTAGATTATCGTGTATTTTGATCACAGTATACTTTATAAGAGTGTCAACTTAATTTCTCAAATGGTAACACGCATAATTAACTTGCATATTTAATAGATAATGATGTAGTTAAGAAAACGACAAACAACTTGTAAACCAGTATTTCGGAAATTATTTACATGTTTATATCTAATAGGAAAAAGAGTATTACATTGTTTAGATTACGTGCAATTAGTTTAATTTAACTCTTCTAATCATTACTTAAAATTATTAATAACTTAAATATGCTAGTTTATTATGCATGTAGCCATTTGAGAAATTAAAGTTGACACTTTTATAAAGTATAATAAGACATGAATATAAAAAATACTTTATGATTATTAATTCAAGAGATATATTGAACTAAAAAAAACAAAAAAAATAATAATTCATACATTTTTTTTGATTAATTAAATTTTTCAGAATAAGTAATCATCCTGTATAAATTTTTTAAATATTGAACATAAAATAAATTTTTTTTATGGATTAATCTATATCTAAGTAATAAATAAGAAAATGAAAAAAATATATAATACGTTTTTATGTATTTTAAATTATTTATACTTTCATTTACAATGATATTTATTATGACGTGATGGACAGTTGGTTAGTCTTTTCGAATTCTATTATTAAACCTGTGCGTTTAAAGAAAATAAAACTTGGCCAAATTTAACAATGTTATGGTTCTATGTTTTATACGTAATGTATGTAAGACAACTAAAATTTTAAACGCTGACAGTTAGTTAAGTAGTTTATTTATTATGAGCATAGCTTTAGAAATTTGTCTGTGGGAGTTAATTTTGGATAATGATTAAGTGGAATTTTCTCTATCACATTGCTTTTTCTACCTCTCTACTCGAAAATTCTATTTATTTGTGGGGGCTACAAATGTTTCTGATTGAAACCCCCACAGACCCCATGCAATCTACGCTAATGTTACTTAATACGTATTTATAACAACTTACGTCTATTACACTTAATATAATACATAAATACCGCTGTTTGTACGACTTATAAAATCAATGTATTGATTCATTCAAATATTAGTTGAATAATTTTTTGATTATTATTTAACAATTATATGTAACATTTTTTAAGTTTTCAAGTATTTTAAGATTATTGATAAAAATTATATCAAGTTAACACGATGAAAATATGCAAAAACTAGAACACAAGTGAAAAACATTTTTTTTTTTAGAAATTGTATAAAAAATATATTAGAATTAGTGTAAATGACTTTAAAAAAAAGTTGATATTTTTGGTCATATGATATAGACATTGAGATTTTAGGGTCGTTTCTGGCGTAATTTAAACGTTAGAGTTCAAAATTGATTTCGTTACCAAATATTTTAATTCAACTGTAGTTGAGAAGTGATACTACAAATAAGTGATTTATATTATATCCTATAGATCTGAATTAGGTCGTTATTCGGATTCGCATATATGAAATTACCATACTCCACAATAATAATTATTTTTACATAAAAATATTTTGAATGCGCACAAGTGTTTCAAATTTTTTAATTAACTCTTCTAAATATGGACCAAGAAATTTTATTTAAAAATAATATATTTTGGTATTGTAGTTTTTTTAACTTATTTTTGATATATGTAATAGACTCTTACCAGCCACAGCGTGTAAACAATCTTGAAATACTTCTACATTACGTTCGCAAGTAGCTTCATTCAAATAAAAGTAAGTACGAGCACTTTGAACTTTGTATCGTCTGTCGGCAAAATTTTTGTCAACGTGATATTGAGGAAGTGATCCTCCGACTTTTTGTTCTGAAACATAATTTAAACTAATATAATACTTTTAAATGATAAATGTTGATCACTAGTAGTTTTATTTCAAACTAAAAATATATTATAATATATTAAATGGAAACGTTTAAACTCGAAAAGCTACAAAAAATACGCAAAATGGAATATAAAAATGACCTAACATACAATTTGACTAAAAACTTAGTAAGGGTTTTTTGATCTAATCAAAAATTTGATAGCTTTTAGTTAGAAATAATATTGATTTAGTTTAAAATGTATCTGGTCTATTCAAAATAATGATTGGTTTATTAATTTTGATGTAGTTCTCTTATTCTGGTTATTCCCATAAATATAACAATTGGTTTTCTTAAAGACTGGCTAGTGGAACAGATTAAAATAAATAATTTAATAAATTCAACAAAGTTATGTATGAGTTATAATGTTTTTAAATTTTAAGAGCAATTTCAGAAAACGGCAATGGGAAATTCGTAATCACTCTTTTTAGCAAAAGTTTTCATGTGTAGCATTGAAACAAATCTAAAAAATACTTATATTTCTACAAATTTAGATTAGGTATGTGGATGACATTTTTGCGATAATGAACAATGATTTTTATACGGAAGTCTCTTTACAATATTTAAATCTTTTTTAATAACTTAACATTTTTATACCTAGTCAGGAAGAATGCGGGCGAGAAATCTTCGTTTAAACTGAATAGTGCGTATCTCATTTTTTCTAGGTTTTCAGGACGTTAAAAAATCAATTTGAATTATACACGTCTTAGTGTAAGAGGTGATTTAATTTTGATAATTATCAATAGAACTTACAAAAAAATTTGTAAATAACAACTTTTCAGATAAATTTTTATCATTATTGATAAAAATCTAATTTTGTAAATGTTGAGGTACGTACTGTTCTAGTATAAGCGATTAAATGTCTAGTAATAAAAATAACATAAAGAGCGTCTAACCTCCAATCTAATTTAAAATTTTTAAAATGTTGCCATTTAAAAATAATAATGTTGACAAACTCATTATGAACCAGAACTGTATTTGATGATTGATAAAGTAATCTGAAGTAAACGTGAGCACTCTTTTCAATCGAATATGATTTATATGATTTAATATATGGTAGTCATAAACAATTCTTAGACTGCAATGTTTATTTAATTTAGAAATGAATATTATAAATTTTACCATCTTATTCATTATGTCATTTATTGATTTGTTAAATGAAAAATATTATTAATACAAGAGTGAAAATGGAAATTTATAATTTAATTCTATATTATTTATATTATAAATAACATATTAACCTTCACTTTGAGCAGTTTTTTTCTCCAGTTTTTGAACCTCTGATAAACTTGACCTAAAAATAACGAATATCAAAAAATCAGTCATGAAATAAGAAAACAAATGATTTCGTGCACATTTAAAAATAAAACAATAATAATAAGCTACATTATTAGTATATTCAGGCAGATTAATGATTTGTATATAGACAATTATAACGTCAGTTATTGAAATATATGATTAATTTTTTTGTTTGTAAGCTATAAGTAAAACGACATTTTTTATAATAAGAAAACTGTTTTTATGTTAACATTAGTTTCTAAAAACTTATAAGGGCATCCAAAAAATCAAATTAATTTTTTTTCGTGTCTAATGATCATACGGTATTCTCCATTATAGTATTATTTTAATTTTTCATATAAAAAACTTATCTACTTTTCCTGGTAATGGACAAATCTACTATTTCAGAGTATTCATAATTAAGAAATAAATTCTCTAGAGAATCCAGAAATGGTTTTATATGATTCAAAATTTAAAAAAAATAATAGATAATTCACGTATTAGCAGGATAAATTTTAATTGAATATTATCAGTGAATAGTCAATGAAATGTTATTTAAAAATTAACTTAACTTAATTTAGAATTAATAGCATTAAACTATTAAAATAATAATAATAATTTAATGTGAGGATAAATTAACTATTTATTTACACTTACTCAACTTCTCTTTTTTCTGCTTCTTCTTGACTTAGGTCTTCTTCTACTGAGTAGTCTAAAATTGGTTTGACACCGAATGATCTTAATCTTTTTAATGTTGGAACTATACGGTACTGATCTTCACCAGCTACAAAATGGCCATAAAATGTCAATTTCATAATAAGTGCAAATAGTTTTTCTCCAAAAACATTTTTACATATTTTCATAAGCTGAAAAACATAAGCATAAATGTTTATAAATGTATGATTTTTAAAACGAATGTTTATCGAGTTACAAATTATAATAACTCGCTATTACTGAAATTCTATGTTCAAGTCCTCAAACAGTGTTACTAGTTCTATAAAACGCTGCGACGCAAATCTGTTAAATTTCATAATTTACAATTTCTATGAATTTAAATTACACTCAAATATTAAATAATTTTTAAATTAATTGCCTTAATGATAATAACGTTATTTTTTTTTTTTTTTGCTTTGTCAGCCAATTGCACATAGTAGAAAAATCGTTCGGCACAATTATTTTTTTAATATTGTATAATTACACAACGAATGCTTCAATTTTATATTGGTTAGAAGTTTTCAAGTTTTTGGAACATTTTCAAAAATGAAAAAAAAAAAACCCAGCACAGTGGGGTCGCGGCATAGTGGGGACGTTGCATAGTTGGGTCCAGTATAGATTTAATCTGACAGTGATTAAAATCACTATCATAAGAAACGCTTCGATGCAAATCAGTAGATAGTGTTTAATTCTAAGAAATTGGTGGATAATTACAAAAGCTACATTATCTGCTAGTTTCTTATTAATACCCTGATTAAGATAAAGTATGTCGAATGAAAAAGGGATTATTAAAAAATATTATTTCTCATAAAAAAATTGTGTTGATTCATACACTTTTCAATGAGTTATAGCATTATAAAATTAAAAATGTAACCAACCCAACCCAACATATCAACTCCTATTTCCTTAATTATATCCAGCTTAGTAATTCTTTTAATTATATATTATACAATTTTTATAATTAATTATTTTCAAATTATTATCGATTTTTAATATGTTAAAAGTAATCATTTTGAACC